TCCTCAGGTCTGCATAACTTTGACAAACAAGGAGAAAATGAAATTCATCTTCTATATCCATAGAATTACAATTTAAACAAAGTCGAAGACGCCTATCTATATTTCTGTATCTACCAGACTCTATGGCCAGGTTATGAGAAGCAAGACGAAATTTGGTTATCATAATTCTTCTTTGTTTAGGTAAGGATTTTGTTAAATAAAATTGCAGAGTTACCTTATCAACAATATGCCTATACAGATAACATTTGCTAGTAATTTGCAAAGAATTAAACAACATTTTATTAGCCTGATCTTCTATTCTTTGTTTAATACTAGTGAGAAGAATAACATCGGAGGGCGACTGCCTTATCCACACGTATCCAAATCCTAGTTCAAATAACTTCTGCTTAATATGAACAAGCCAAGTATGTTTTGGATTGTCTTTCTCTGCATCTATATACAGAAAATTATACGCCTCTTTTAAAATGCAATTATCAGTCTTTAACAATTTAAACCAGTATTTGTACATTCTATACAATTGTGTGTTAACAAGAGGCAGTCGTCCTAGTTCAGTGTAAACCATAGCATTACAAGTAGACTTCTTAACACCACGCAGATTTTTACAAAACTCAAGATGGATTTTTTCCAACTCAGTCCTTTGAGGCTACCCCAAACTTCACATGCATAAAAAGAATACTTCAAACGTAAGTATCAAAAAGATGTAACTTAGTTTTAACATTTAGATTCAACGTGCTTAATCATGCAACTAAATTTATTATTAAAATGAAAAAGAGTGCCCAAATAACAAAACTGGTCAACAATATCAATACTTTCCCCTTTGTATGTCCAACACTCATTTTCTTTGACAATACCTCCATTTCGGAATTTTTGTTTTCTCTGTGTTAACAATTAGTTTCCAATTATCAGCCTAAGAACTTAAATTATTCAACAAGTTTTGTAATCCTTCAACCGTTTCGGAAAATAAAGCCAAGTCATCTGCATATAGAAGGAGAAAAAGATTAAGTTCACCAAAATCGTAACTAGTCGCGCCCTTCTCAATAAAACTTTGTTCGAAATCATTAATGTTAAGGGAAAACAACAGAGGTGATAAAATTTCCCCTTGCATCAATCCGACATTATTAGGGAAAAAATCTGAACACTTTCCCTTTAACAAAACACAAGATTTTACTGAGTTTTATAAAGATTAAACTGTCGATAAAAATTTACCACGAAACCCTAGCTTATTTAATTTGTACCAAAGACTTAACCTATCCACAAAATCAAAGGCCTTACGGAGATCTACAAAACAACAGTATAGCCTTTTTTCATTGGACAATGTTTTAGAAATAATCGTATGCAACGCAAAAATAGCATCAGTCGTACTTACACCAGGTCTGAATCCAAATTGTGCATCTGTAATAATGTTGTGTCTCATACACACATCTAGCAGTCTACTGTTTAGAATAGACGTGAACAAATTGCATAAACAACTAATTAGACTAATACCACGAAAATTATTAGGATCTGTACGATCACCTTTCTTATGAACTGGTACAATCACAGCAGTAGACCAATCAGACGGAAAACAACCTGAACTTAAGATGTTGTTAAATAAAGTTTGAAGCAGTGGTAACAGAATATTTCTGCCTTCAATAAAACATTCATTCAATAAACAATCTTGACCATGTGATTTGCCACGTTACATAGTTTTAAGCTACAAAGACTGAACCATTGTTGTGACAAGATATCTTTTAACTGTCTGCAGTCCTTTCATATGTCAATTTCCTTTCACATTTTATTGCGTAACCGAGTTACAGAGTAATTTTAAGGAGGCAAGGTTGTCGCTACATTAGCTATAATGAAGAAATTCGATCTAAAACTACTAGGATTGATTTTTTAATTGTCACTTAATCAATGTTGTTCATTGTCGGTGAAAACACCAATTATTTCAGCCAGTATCAGCATCATAAAATATCCGGATACTTTTTCTGGCCATCATTGTACAAGGTTAATTTGAGGAAGACAATCACAAAAATAGTAATAGGTACTTGTGCAGGTGTCAAGGTGACTTAAGTAATTAGATAATGACACATGGCCATGGTCAAGCAGTAGTATATAATAAAAGGTCACACCTGCTAGAGAGAAGACCACCTGTGTACAGTTACATTGACGTGTATTTCAGAATATAACACTGCACATAAACACGCTGATGAACCAAACTTCTCCATAAAGATTTTTCTTCTCATTTTGCAATTACATCAGTTTCATTATCTGAAACCATATAAAGTATGGATGTGTACAAAATGTGTATATAAAATATATGAGCCAAATTATTGATGACTGGCAGTTCTTCAATCTGTTACACACAGACATTTAAAATCAGATGTATTTTTTGATAAAGGAACGTAATATATTTCTGTGGAATCTGCTTAAATAATCATGATAAAATTACACTTACAGTAATCCTTACACACATACATTTAAAATATATGTATATTTTTTGATCCATAAGGACACAAATCAAATATATTTCTGTGGAATCTGCTTAAATAATCATGATAAAATTACACTTACAGTAATCCTTCATTTCATACATTACTGTATATGTATATCTTCATGTTGGATCCATATAGACACAAATCAAATATATAGTCATATGTGGGATACATATATGATTGTCATCAGAAAAGTATCTAGGGGGGATTTATCATATATATAGAGGGATACATATATGATGGTCATCAGAAAAGTATCTAGGGGGGATTTATCATATATATAGAGAGATACATATATGATGGTCATCAGAAAAGTATCTAGGGGAGGTTTACCATATATATAGGGGGATACATATATGATGGCTATCAGAAAAGTATCCAAGGGGAGATTTATCATATATATAGGGGGATACATATATGATGGCCATCAGAAAAGTATCTAGGGGGAGGTTTATCATATATATAGGGGGATACATATATGATGGCCATCAGAAAAGTATCTAGGGGAGGTTTATCATATATATAGGGGGATACATATATGATTGTCATCAGAAAAGTATCTAGGGGGAGATTTATCATACATATAGGGGGATACATATACTGCCTATTTGTAACACCTTCCCAGGTGTAATCAGTTAATTGGACACTTTTAAATGTACCCCTGGCATGTGTTGCCAACAGACTGACTAACAACCGAAGTTTCAACAACGAATTTGTAAAGTATTGATCTCAAGGGGGGTGTACAAATACTATAGAGGGGATACTTTTCTGATGGAGGAAAAAGTATGATAGGGGTAACAAATATGATATGGCACCAGCAATTATTGAATCCGGATTTTCGTAAATACCGACAAAATTATTTGGGCCCGGCATTTTCCTTCTTAGTTACTGCTATATTAACTTTGTAGATCACGGATTTGGTATATTCTGAATACCGGGGTGATTTAAGATTGTTTTCATTAATAAATGGATATACACGATCGAGTTTATCTGTGAATGCAAAACAATGATAATGCCTACAGGGCAATTTGTATCGATAGTGATTATAGTCTTTTTCTTTAAAGTAGTATAACTTCCCACTGCTAAATTTACCTGTAAAACTTCACCTGTTGGCGCTCAGCAACTGGTATTACTTTTCTTTAATAAAAGATTATGTTCATGATACTTTTCTTTACATATAACTATTTAAGAACATGCTTAAACTATAGTAGGTAGGTTCAGGAGGTGAGAGTTTGCCATACGAAGGACATTGTGTAAGTTTAGAAGTAATTAAAAGTACGAGGCATGAAGCAAGTATTTTAAGACAAAATTGTGGCCAACAGTCAGCTCCCAAGTAAATCTTCGGTTTACATTATTTACCATTAATTAATCGAAGTGTGAAGAAATATCCACAACAACACATTTTTATAACTCCCCGAGATGGAGTAACCTCGTAGCTCTGTGTATATACTTCATGGTAAAACTAGTCTCTAAACTTGTAACAAGTGAATTCCCACTCCACGCCTTGTTTAAGGGTGTATCTACAGTTTACTGACTCTGGAGAAAGTTAGAACATAACTGTAAACACCGGAGATGTTACTCTGTTTTCAGAATGTCAGTTGTCTAAATAGGCCTAATGTTACATATCTGTCACTTTGCTTTCAAAGTGTAAAAGCCTAAGTCTATTTCCCTGTCGATTCGTTTTCAAAGCATCAGCAACTACTGCCGCAAACCAATTAAAACTCGCAAAATCTTCAGTAGGAAAAAGCACGGCTCAACGATAATGATCCATACCTGCCAAATTTTCCCGACTTGTCACAAAGGAAAAATAATGAATATATATATTTAATCGATAAATCTAGATAACTTTAAATTGATAAAGTGCATGCTTTAATATATTATAACAATGAAAAACATACCAGCCTTTTTTCGCAAATATGGTTCAAGTTGGAATTAATTCATTTCAATTCTCAGTACTCCTTGAACTCACACAATATTACAGATACTAATATTGGTGATTATCTGTTTGGTAGTTAGTAAGGATATGTATTTCAAAATATGATGCTGCTGAAAGAAATTGTTTAATTGAAATAAGGGAAAAATAATTTTAATCATCTCTGGAGATTTTAAACTGTCATTTTATCAAAATAGAAAGAGGCAAAAAACGATAAACGAAATAAATTCTTTCATAAAATTCAAAATGTTTTAATTTTTTGTATTTATTGTGAAATATACTTAAGGGATAAAGAAACGCAGGGTAAACTTTGAAGATGTTTCCGTCATAATAATGGGACACCACGGGGTAGAATGATCTCATCTCTGTATCTAGCAGCTGTTAAATTACCCGCTACCACAACCAGTGGTGATTTAACACCATGTGACGTTCCTCCCAACAACATAATCGATCAACGCCAAACCTATCCGTTACTACTACGCAGCAGTCGGCAAAACGTTCTCCGCGACGTCGGTGTACACGGTGTCGAACGTCTGCTCGAAATAGGGTGAACCGGGGTTCATCAGTAAACGAGACCCGCCTCCACTGCCTCAATGGGAATATTCGGAGAGCATGTGACGCCACCAAAGCCATACGACGCTGGCGGTAAAGGGGTTGACCTACACACGGGTGACGTGCCCGTAGACCAACTTTCCGTCATCGTTTCCTTCAGTTTTTGCATGGATAAGACTGTGATGAGTACCTATGGCATGAAGGGCAGATTCAGTGGCAATAAGATGTAGATTGTGCAAACGCTGTCAGCAACCCATCCAGTTTCCCTTAAACTTCTAACAAGACATTCTTTAGTGCAAATGTGGACACTGAAATGTCTGGCAACCTGTATTTTTGCCATTGACCTTGCATAATATCGCAATGGCCTGACCCCTCTGAACTTCCGTCAGCCGTGCAATGGTTTAATGCTATCAGAAATTAATCAAAATATCGGAAAATTATGTGTCTCTATGAAGACTACCTAATGGTATGAGAGCAGTGTAACCGAAAGTCACAACACTGCTTTACACGAGACTTCCCTGTTTCGTGCTTTCCCAGAAGAAACCGTCATGCAATACAATAATGCAACATTCGATATTGGACCACGTGATCTGAAACCTAGAGAGTTGCTTGATCGATTTAAATTATTTTTACAGTGCGTTCACAAGATATTGCAAATAATGTCACTCTGTTTTTCTTTATCCCTTTGAGTTTACATCTTTAAAAAAATATTGTAGATAGATACAAATCCGGACATTTGGTCCGGATACGTTCCTATTTTGAATTAGTGTAGCTACTTCCTGTTTAACCATTATCATGTTTTTGTAGAAAACCAATCATTCTTGAAATTTTAGTCAATTATTCAGTGAGTGAATATTTCTTTGATCTGATTTTTAATCAAGATGCCAACTCAGTCGTTTTTTGCATATTGTTACATTATGAAGATCGTTGTTCAAACCATTTTCTTATTGAATTTGTTAGTTGACCGCATGGGTAGTATAAACATGGTAATAGCTACTTAATTATTTGTATAATGACCTTATATTAACCAAATATTTACCAGGGCCCACTCCTGAGTCCTGACCAGGTCGGAAACAATGGCCATGTACAGCAGCATACTCACCTGGGGGTGTTCCCTGAACGCATACATGTCCAGGACAATAGGTAGAAACATCAAAGGGAGGGTAATTATAGTCTGTTTCATATACTGCATTTACCCGAGATATTTTACTTGTGGATCAACCTGTATTTTTATTTTTATTTTCGACTGCAAGGTTACATCAACAGTTAATAATTGATATTTTGTCCCTTAATACTTCAGTATTGCAGTCAGAAAGTACATGTATACATGCATAATATGTATGCGTTCCGGGATACAGACTCACCTGGCTAGGTGGTCAGCCTTACCAATTTGACAAAGTTCGGACAGAAACCGAGAGTAACCATAAGACTCAGCGACTGGCTCCACCGCTGAAGCCTCGGCTAATCAAAGTGCGTGACATAACTTGACCACGTCTCATCTCACAGGATGGCCAACGTAACCCGAAGCAGCTGACACTATGTCAAACCAGACACGATGTCCCTCCGTAAACCCTAGACTGAACCCCACAAAGTGCTACTAACATTGCGACTAAGGGTACATACACCTAGCAAGAGCCAAACAACCACAGGCTCGTGAGTAAAAAAAAACACTCTAGCGAATAACACAAAACAATAGTCACGTTTTAAATAATTTCCATCTATAACGTTATTAAGTGTAAAAAAAATATTTTACATATCTTGTGATATGTTTGAATGTCTTATTTTTTTTTATTTATTTTGAATATAATATTGATGATAATTTCTTTGATGTTTAGATAAGAAACATTAAAAATTATCACATTGTAGATCATTGACTTTATTGTTATTTACATTGTACATTGTGTTTGTGTACACATTATGTATTGATGGGTAATTAGGCCAAATGTTAACGAAATTAAACATGGAAGTGAAATGGCTTTTAATCATTTCTTATCAATCATTTAGTAGATCGTATATAAATTACCAGAAATGTGACATTTTATCTTTATTTCCAATACTCTAGTTTTATTTCAGGTAAATTTGGTTTTATTTCCAATACTCTAATTTTATTACAGACACTTCTAGCTTCGTGTTATAATTATTTTAGAAATATGTTAGGGTGTAGTGCTAAATCATCCAACATAATGATTTAATTTATTTATAGATGTTTAATTCATATATAGTGCTTAATGAAGTCAAACTAAATTATTCAGTATTTTTGCATCAAATATGATATATATACTTAGTTAAATATCTCAATATGAAGATAGGCTGCAAGAAACAAAGGTAAATATCTGGTAATAATCCTGGTAAGAAACGAGCAGTTAAGATGAAAGTCGGTTTTAAAGATTTTATTCATCCCTCAAGCACACTAGCATGTGCAACAGCAGGTCAACATTCAATACAAATATACAACGATATGGTTAACACTATTAAACGCATTTCATTCAGTGGCAAAACAAATATTATATAGTATTACCCACGCCATACCATAAATCATACAGTAACATTATAGAAATATTATTCGCGCCATGTACAGTGATATGGAAAAATATTTTACACACAACGATAATATAGGCAATTTTAAACACAACAAGAAGTATACAGCACATCAATAACTTTTCGCATGTATACATTCGCACATCAATACCATAGCATCATGCACATTATGTACCAATAAACCTGTATCATACTTCTTTTATAATATTAGAATCAGTATAACACATAAAGTATATCCATATAATGGTGTGATAGTCACTTTTACACACAAACACTAGTACAATATAAATTGTAAACACTAGTACAATATAAATTGTAAACAATATTATACGCATCATGCATATACAATGACAGTCCATTTACACAAATTTCTCCACAACACATTTAGTAGACGTTTAGTACGATATTACATAAGTTCTACAATACAAACGTATATTTATATAGTGTATTACCATATTATCCATTAAATTTTACAGTTTCGTGTGCATATTTTACATCCTAATATTCTAATTGTGTTTTCTATCATATGGGTAAACACTGTCAAGTTTGATAACATCCTAATATTGCATATCTATGATAATCCTTTCATTTTAAAAACATAGAGGTTAACAGTATAATAATTGGGTATACAGTTTTTCCGTATATGACAAATAATTGAATTTGGGTATAAAAACAAATAATGATATTCATTTTTAACACCACTGGAGCATAGAGGACATATTCTATCTTCACGCTGTATTCTAGCCAATCGTCCAGTTTCAATTAGTAAGGACAAATTACTAGCTCTGAGCTTACAGATTCTATCTCTATGATTCAGCTTGATCAGATAATTTTCAAATTCGAAAGGGTTTTTAAATATTGCATAAGTCTTCCCTCGTGAGGAATGTTCTGTATCAGAATACCATTGTTGTATAAATTGATCATGCAGAGAAGAATTTAAACTGTTTTAAGAAGATTTGGAGAACTCCCCATACGGTCTGTCTAATCCGGTTCATTGACCACGAAATGCGATGAAAGAAAGTAATTTCATGTAATCTCTCCAAACACGTGATCACATTGTGCGTGGAGTTCCAAACGATTTATTTACCTAAGGTTTTTTTAACACCTTCTTAGGTAGGTCTACTATTGTGCTAGTGCAAAGTGAAATGCGTTTTTGAGCGCTATTTATGTTTATTGAAATAAAGAGTGTCATTTTCTTTCTTCATGGAATTCATAGGTAAATCTGTCATGGATAGGTTAACACCGATAAAACGAAAAACGTAGGTTACATGTTGTACTCCATCTGCAAACGTACAGAACTAACCTTGGAGAAAAAATGACTTGATAACACAGTCTGAGCAACGTCCAAAGCCATCACAGAAATACTTAGCAAACATCAATGGTATAGGAACATCAACAGTTTTAGATATTCAGAAAAAGGATGAATTAAAACGGCAGTTTTCAGACAATGCTCCAGCAAACCAAACACGTTTCAATAGTGGTTCCAAAAACGGAGATATGAACTCACTAAAAACTTACCTGTAAGTGGTTCTGTAGTTAAAAAAGGGTAATTCATATTTAAAAACAATTTGATAATTTAGATTCAAAGCCTCTAGTAGATGGCTATCCAGTTTTAAAGAAAGTAATTCTCAATGATTGGTTATTTCTAAGTTAGTGGGAAAAGCGCAGATGTATTACTCAACGCTACATGAGTAAATGGTCCGAAATCTCAATATAATATATATATATCACTTCGTTAGGACCGATATTTTATAAAACTGCACAATTACACAATTCATGCCTCTATTGTCCTTAGACAAATCTGGTAGATTTGTTTCGACGCCGTTAACTAGTTATATAAACCAAAATGAAAGGTATGTTAACAATTGTCTTTTTTTCCAACAAGTTTCGCGTTTAATCTTGTATATTTATATACATATCAATTTGGAGTATATATTTTTCATCCCTTATCAGATTCATATGCATGTTTGTGAAATACATATATATCTATTTAATAAGTTGTATGAGCTATTTTCAGTTCTAATAAGGAAAGTCCCATGTATTGAGCTATCTTTAACTCTCTAATGCTTTCCAACATTTTCATGCAACAGCGAAGTTTCTCCCCTCTTGAGAGGAACTGAGAGATATTGCACAAACAAAAAATATGTTTGCTAGAAATGTGTAAATCAACATTGGAAGTGCGGCATCATTACACTGGACCCCTTTGTCCTATACTGGGCCCATACTTCATTGTTTGACAGGAGTACTGGTGCCCATTGTTCGGTATCACAAATCAAACAGTGTATTGTTCTCGATTTTAGTGAAGTACTTGAGACATGTAACAGCTGAACGCGGTAGTATTTCTTCATTACTCAGCAGATGTCTAATCGTGTTTTATTGAAGAACAACCATCAACTTGTAAATCGTTGTTTCACAATCACTGATAATTATACAGCTGTGTCAATATAAAGGCAAAAACACAGCTTTTCATATTTTAACGGTGGCACGGGATCCTGTTTAAAACTTAAGTTAAGACCTTGGTCTGAAGCTACCATGTTTGATAAAGATTATTTTGGTCGAATTCACTTTTTCCATTTATGCGATCGGACTAAACCTTCCATAATTAAATACAAATATTTGCAGTAACTTGCAAACAGTTGAATGAAAATAAAGAAATATGTTGGTCTTTAACCTGCCATAAGGTAAATGTATTGCCAGAATGTTTTGTGATTATTTTGAAATGTCTCCAGTCGTAGAGATTCATTTGTAAAGTATAAAACTTTCAGATTAAACATGGCGTCCTTGTGACTTGCTGGTGTAGACCTACCTGGAAATATGATATTTTCTCCCGTAGAAATATGGTTTAACAGATGTATATTCTTTTAAAATAAATGTTACAATATGGCAAATCATAAAACAGATTAAATCGCCCACTCGACTCCTTTCTAAATTTTGGCCTCTGTTTCCATTAAATTTCATCAGCTGTTTGCTGTATTGTATTTTATACATTAATTAATGCTGTATTAAATCATTTAAATCTATATTTGAAAGGTACTCTTCACTTTTATGTCTTCAGTAAAATCCTTGAACGAGTGTTACTGTTGTTTTAGTGAAAGAGTTAGCAATTAACAAAGAGAGGGTAATTCTGTTGGGGAGACAAATACCTTCCGAGCAGAATCGAAGCAGATTTTTGGCACATGAAAAAACTTGTACTCTTTGCAAATCAAAAACTCTTTGAAATATCAGATATATCATTTGAATATATGATAAAGGATAAAAATAATAGTAAAAAGTTTTAGTCACCTACATCAATACGCGAGTTTTTAATCTATATTCTAGTTTTACACAGCAGTACGTCCCATAATGCTTTACTTCAGCGCTAACAAGAGAGGGCACTTTAAAGATGATATTACTTGTTCCATATTTGTTGTAAAGGAAATGCTTATAGAATAGAAGTTCTTTTAACACAACCAGTAGAAAATAAGAGAGTGATGTTTCTCGATGACTACTTGGTCACCTTCATCTGACGTAAGTTATGTATAAAAATGCTTGCTTGTTTGATTGTTTCATGGCTCAGCCATATGAGTAGAAATGCGTCTAAGGCAAGTTTAAACACCCCTATTGTAACTCCTTTGTACAAATGTTTTATTAATGCAGATGCTAGATGAAATGACATACAAAATGAAGGGTATAAATTGCGTTAATATGCATTTCTATAAATTGATACAGACCAACAGATCCGTTTGAGAACGCTTGTTATCAGTTTATTGTATAACGTGGACAGTAAATTGTTTGAGAAGCACTATTCGTTGGACTTGTAAGTCTTGTATTTTTATTGTGATTGCATGGCATTTTTGTCACTTACAAGTAAGTCAGACATACATATTTCTCTGAATTTGTTTTAAACTTAGTAGATAATCCCTAGTTTGTGCTACAAAATAGTCACTGGGAAGCATCAGTTCCAAGACAGGGTGTGGTGTATTCAGTGTGGCAACATAATTACAAGTACCAGGAGAATAAGACTAGGTGTTCCAGGAGAGTAATGACAAACGTGATTTTCTATACAGTTTTTAGGCTAAACGTACTCAGTACGCGTAGCCTATTGCGACGGCCTTTCAGACAAAATTTACCGATCCTGGCCTTCTCATTGACTGAAATATCGAAAAGAGTTAGAGCCCTCTAGCGGCAATTTTCTGCGTAAATAATGCCGCGATCTTTCAAATCGCTATTTTAAAAGCATTCAAAATTAGATATATTTTACGGAATTCTCGACATGACGTAAGCGTACAGAACACTGTACGTGCGAGTTGATAAGAAGCTAGTCTGGGGACTTGGTTTGAATTATCAACTAACAGCACTTATAAACAAACAAAACTTGCAAACAGAACATCAATTTTGTTTTAATCCTTGTCATTGTGGCAAGATCGTCTTAATATATAACATCACTTTACCTCATTAGACGTCACCGAATTGGACTGTTCGTCCCACGCGCACACCCGCCGATATGACACTTTTTCAGATTTTTCACACCCACCGCCATGACACTTTTTCAAGTTTTTGAAGATAAAAAGTTTGCGCTTCGTAGCAAGGTACATTTGGTGCTCATGATTTATGAATAATATATTTTAATACTGTCCTGATCATGATGTTGACTCTGTTATAACTTATATTTTTTGTCTTTTAGTTTTATTTGATGAAGGTTAATTGTGCTGATTTCTCAAGGTTTGTTAATGTGTATCAAAGTTCCTTGAAATGAAAATATTCCTTCAAACAAAGCGCGTATAAAAAATCCCAAAAGATTCATGTTTATAAATATCAATTAACTAGAACGAAATATTTCCATAACATATTTATTCATTTAGCGTGTTATGGTGACATTATCTAATGCATTGGAGATCAGAAATAGTAGTAGCTATAGTGAAAATATTGTAAATTTTGTACATATATGAAAGTCTGGTTTAATCTCAATGAACTATGTCTTTATAGACATAATTACTGGAAGAATAGTCTAACCATGATACTTCAAGGAAGATAGGCATGTAAAATACATTTAATGTAATTACTTACACTTTAATCTATCTCAAATGCTGTGTACACCTTATCTACTTTCCTCAACTACAAATATAATTATAATAAGTAAGGACTATTGCTTTGCAATACATTCAAAATAAAGAAGTAGGTATAAAGTCCTTTCGATTTGTCTAAATCCTCATATTGATAGGATAGTAATTGCAACATCTTGGGTATTTCAAACGTTTTATTTAGTCAACTTCAGCATAGAGCTATTAACCATTTGGCTTGTTGGCGATAAATATATGGTTGTGTGTATTTTGTTATTTTTTTTTTTTACCTATTTTGATTTGTTGACATTATTGTCGTCAAATTTGAATGTCCATTTATGATTCAAGGTCCCGTATACAAAATACTTATAATCAAATTCCGAACACACGACCATAAGCTACACATGTTCTCTGACAAATAATGTTAACATTATTTCAAGATTTTGTTTATCAACCTCGAAACAATAGATAACTAAATGTAGCTATTTGTAATGCACAGATAAGCGTTTAGATTCGTCAGTTAAGTATGTTTGACATGGTATTTTGTTTTTCAATATCTCGGAGTTCTTTTCCCGATTCCAATGTGCTATACAATGATATTCCTCATCTAACAAGTGGATGATGTATGCTTTTGCAGTGACAATGCTGTGCTAATGTTAAGTGTTCTGTAATATAACCAGTAAGGATATAAATAGAACGACATTTTAAACATCCATGCTTCGTGATATGTTTAAAAATGTAATAAACACAACACAATTACAAAGTGGAAATCAATAAACATGCTTTTTATTCGGAGAAATATCCTCATTATTCGATTATTATCAGTTTCTGTGAAATTTGCATATACGAAAAAGTACATGTTTAGATACAGCAATTTTACTCAGAAGGACAACCTATCCTTGATAGCAAATGTTTACATGTAATGTTTGTTAACGTTCATCTGCCATTTTCAAGAATAAAATTTCATATGTTTCAGACAATATGAGTATCCCTTATTCCAACACTTTGCATCATTGCACCTGACTTCTCGCCAAGGAACCAATTCTACTAATCCGCAAGAGCATATAATGAAAATCTTCAAAAATGCAATTAAGACTATTCCCGTGTCGGATTATTCAGCCTCTGTATCAAAAGCGGTTTTGTCATCTTACAAAGCCTACCTTTCTATCGAAGATATTATCGACATAAGAAGTCTAGCCAGTAATACTTCCTCCACACAAGCACTTGCTGTAAACAATGCGGTATATTCTCTGGGAGAAATTATAAAGGTTAACATCAGACTTTATGATGGATACGGAAAACCACTCACATACGGCGGAGATGTTCTCAGAATATGGCTGACAAGTACAGCCAATAACGCAAATGCCAATGGCTACGTCATTGATCACGGAAATGGGTCCTACACAGGTCACGTGATCGCCTTATGGACAGGTAAAAGTGTCATTAAGACATCGATAGCGGCAACTAAAGAGCAAATTGCAGTCGTTCAAAAATATATAGAAAAACATGGATTACTGCATGATATGGTGGCTGGATTTACAAAAGATAATGTTGTAGAACGAACGCCTTGCAGTGTGAAACCCGATGTGTTAGGATTGACGGACATGTGTAATTTTACCAACGATAACTATGGTCTTCACTGGTTCTGTGGGAAGCCAAGCAATCCGTCACTAAATTGCAAGGATTGGAAGTTCACAAAAGGTCATCGTACAGATCATTTAACTAAACCAGAGAGGAAAATTGCAAGGTAGATGATAGCTTTAATACTAAAATGAGATAAATATTTATTGCGTAACATTGGCGAAAGCTTTAACGTAAACTCTCAGTTAAACTTTGTGGCTGGTTAGTTGCCAGTTATTCGATACAAATCCAAATATTTCAAGACATTCATATAGATAGAGATTAAAAACAAAAAGAAGTCAACATGAAAATGAATGTAATGACAACTGTCGCAATCTGATGATTACCAGAATCAATGAAGAACCGTTTCATTCTTGAACATGTGACATTGTATATAGTTGTTCTCAAGCTCCATTATTGATGCACTCATTTTGTTTGAGTAGATATGAATTTTTTATTGAAATTTTGTTAAAAATATAATCTTCAATATCCATGTAAATGAAACGACCAAGTTCATAATATTGCCATTCAGAAAAGGATATTTTTTCTATACTAACTATTGGCAATGTCATTGTGTCATCAATTAACTTTAAATCTTTTGAATTCATTCATATATGCATATATTAACAAAAGGTGACTTGCTTTTTGAACAGAATCCACAAGCATATGCATTTGCAGAAAAGTCCGGAAATAACAATAGCAGGAAGTAAGTAACGGGAGATAAATGCAAGTGAAATAATAAATCTAGGGAAAACTTTAGGGTGGAAATAAAAACTATGTAGGAACAAATGTTGGAAGGGGAGTTAAATACGATTGAAATTATATACCTTGTAGGGAGAAAGGGGGAAGGGGTTCATACAAATGTAATTATATATTAAGTAGGGACAAAGGGGGTAAGGGGTTAACTACAAATGGAATTATATACTAAGTAGGGACAAAGGGGGGAATGGTTAACTACAAATGGAATTATAGACTATTTAGGGAGAAAGGGGCGGAGGAGTTTTAATACAAATGGAATTATAAATTCTTTAGGGACAAAGGGGGAAGGGGCTTAAATACAAATGGAATTATAGACTCTGGAGGGAAAAAGGGGCGAATGGGTTTTAATACAAATGGAATTATAGACTATGTAGGGACAAAGGGGGGTTGGGGGGGTTTAAATACAAATGGAATTATATACTAAGTAGGGACAAAGGGGGTTAGGGGTTAACTACAAATGGAATTATAGATTATGTAGGGAGAAAGGGGCGGAGGAGTTTTAATACAAATGGAATTATAGATTCTTTAAGGACAAAGGGGGGAAGGGGCTTAAATACAAATGGAATTATAGACTCTGGAGGGAAAAAGGGGCGAACGGGTTTTAATACAAATAGAATTATAGACTATGTAGGAACAAAGGGGGATTTAAATACAAATGGAATTATAGACTATGTAAAGACAAGGGGGGGGGGTTTAAATACAAATGGAATTATAGACTACGTAGGGACATATAGCGTGTGGGGGTAGCGTTAATTCAATGGGAATTATTTATTTTCTAAGGATAACGGGAACTGTGATTTACAATAGGAATTACTGACCAATTAGGACCAATTAGGTCCGTGTAAAAGTACAGAATGAAAACAAGTGATTGGATATATAAAGCTAGTAATTGTTTCTTCTGTTGTAACTTTTCAGTAATTTAAATGTATGATTTTAATTATAGGTGCAGATTTTGTACAATCTCCAGATCTGCCATGCTACAAGCGACCAAGTAAGGAAACATGGCTTGAGGAGTCTCCTGTTGGTTTTTATTATCACGGAAAATGGCACCAACGGGGCTGTACAAACACCTTTATACCTACCAAGATTTCATATGAAAACTGCTTACGGAATCAGTACCTGTTTTTGATTGGCGATTCAAATATCCGCTCGTGGTTTGATCATATAAAAGTTAGAGTGAATATGAAGATACCGAAGAATAAACAAGGTCTGACAGGACAACGATGGTTCAGTTTGAGGGAAGCTGAACGACAGGATTTGAATCTGACACTGTTATGGGCTGTTCATGAACTTCCTTTCTATACTGGAGAAGACTCCCCGAGGGAACATATCAAGTCCGTAGCCTGGTATATAGATCGTGTTCCGACAAGGGAAAACGTAACAATAGTTATACATAATATGATGCATTTCGCAAGAACGACGCCGTCGGAATTTCGTGCACATATTCGGAATGTCAAATTTGCTATAGGCAGATTGTTTAAAAGAGTCCCTGGAGCTAGGGTGTTTGTAAAAGGACCACACTCTGCAACGTTTATCGATCTTCTTAAACCTTTAGATTACATACGAAAAATTCACGAACAATTATTTTATGAAGAATTTAAGGAATTCCATGATAAGATAACTTATTTGAATGAATGGGATATAACTACCAGTATTGATAACACCAACGTTCATCCAAGTCAATTCACTGTTAGCGATATGGTTAATAACTTTATGTTATACTTGTGTGAAGTTTAGAAACCATTCTGCAGAGTTTAAAAGTAAAATTCTTGTCTCCTTTTCAATTTCAAAAGTTTTATAGCTTCTGTAGGACTTTTATTTTGACAGCAAAGAGGCGACTGAAGAAATTGGTTTAAAGATTTGTCCAAACCCAGATTGGAACGTGCAGTAGCCCTTAAAGTTTGAGGTTTCTAAGTCGCCTACTTGTTTTCAAAACGTATGTCTTCACTGAGAAGTCATGTGATGCAGTCATATTCATTATCTAACTCTATTGTATCAGATTATCAATTGGTATTCAAACGTACTTCTCATTCAATTATTTAAATATGATAAATTCAATAAAGAATAATTTCAAATAACATCACCTTTTTCTTTCTTTAAGAGCAGTGATCTGACCCAATTTGATTTATTAGCGCTACCTTGCCTTGACACTTGTTAAAAAATATTATCAACAACTCTTACAATACCAGTTTTATTAACGCTATAATAGTGTAGCAATTATAAAGTCCGGTTACAAATCAATGATTACAAATTATAAAGAGGTCTATGTCAGTGGAATTCAAGAATAGGTTGTACTCTTTGTCAATGAAGTTAATGTTCCTTTGAAAATTGCGCTCTATTTGCACGTAAGAGGCAGGTAAGTCACACAAATATGGTACACCGACAGCAATCGTTGTCATAATTGGCAAGTTTAACATCGGGATTCCTACGCAGCTACCCAATGACCTCCGCGCAAATGTTCTACGAAGAGTAGTGGATGGACCCGATATTTCTATTTATCTCGAGTATAAAAGTACAGTCATGTGATCAAATTATTCTATTTATTACTTGCACCAACATATGAAAACCAACGAGCCGTTTTCCATCGCATCGTGGGAGATAGTGTTCCTGTTTGTATTTTGCTCAGTCTCCTTCTTTTTGCTTTTCCGACCCTAATTTTGGTCATTATTATCGCATGGATGATTAAATAAGAAATGTAGAACGGTATATGGTTTGTCTACATAAAATATTGTATCGTACTTTACGGTTTTATATATCATAACAATTGATACCAATGTATTGTTCAGTCCTGAGAATTCTGATCTTATGATAGTCGTGTCGATCGTTTTGGTGTGCCCTTGTTGTACAGCTGCTTTACCAAATTGAGTGTTTGCTTAAACAGGCATTTATTTCTCTTCAGATTGAAAATAGCGCTTATATCTGGTTTCCAACACTGATAAAACAATTTGCCGATGTTAAGGGCAGACATTTGAGCAAATATCGAACAGGAAGTTCAATACGTTTGTCGCGAACGGGACACTTCAACTCTAACCCTGTCTCTCCAGACAAAGTGTTTCTAACATTACCGGTTCTTTGAGCTTCTTTCTCTTTCTTTTTATGACAGTTAACAACTCTTTACGCGATTCCAAGATATTCACGTAGCCATTTTTTGTGTAAGATCTTATTTCACCTTTTTGCCATCAAATGTTTGAAAACAGGACTTGCCAATCATTGCTTCTTGATAGTTATACGATCTTGTTGACCAAGAGAATGGGTTCTCATCATGATGACTTCTGCGGAGATCTCAAACGACAGAGTTGAGCATTTCATCAAGCTTTTACATGACGTACGTCAAAGTTGATTTTTCCAGATTTGGGCATGATCAAACATTTCCGGTAAGGTGGTCTTAAGCCCAGACATACAATTGACAAAATTCTGCCAAACCTGTAACCTAGCTACCAGAACTGTATTATCCGAGTAACGCATTGCAGAAATGTTCCAACGGTGGACAAGTATGAGAAAGGCCTAACAGAAATCTACCGAAATTGACGAGTTTACTGAAACATTGCCTTATTAGTTACATATTTCCAACTATTTTCCCCGGCTTCATTTTCTGAATAATTTTATTAAAATCTTATGTATATATCAACATAATTGTTTGATATATCTTCTGCCAATGTTTTGAAATGATTTCAGCCTACGTTCTTTTAGGTTATCGTAACTAGTAAAGTGAAATAGTTGTTACAGTGTTGTAGCTTTACTGTCGTCCAACAGTACTTTCGATAGAAGGATTAACAAAAACACATGATGTTGTAAACATATTGATCATGCTTTATAGAACTATAAGAGAATATGAATAGTATGCATGTACAATATCAGAAAACAGCTGATTTACGGTGATCAGTGCCTTACTTATATGTAATATGACCAGCGCCAGCAATTTGCATATACATATATGCATATATGTAGGGATGATAATACCTAAATGTCAATACCTAAATGCAAAGGAGCGCTAGCTCCATAATTCCATACACTTTTCATATATCTGATAATTTTGGAACATCGTCAAGTACATGTGTGTACTCTGCACCATGCCACCATTCGAAAGAACTAACACGTGTTATGCAGGTAACGGCAAACCACGGGGACTAAAAGTCAAATACATATGACTACAAATTGCAGTTTCAAAAGTCATACAAAGACACACGAATGAATATCACCATTTAATAATAATGTGTCAGAGAACATACATTTGTTTCGCCCTTGTAGGACTTAGCAACACGCTTGAAGTCTAGGAGGCGACTGAGGAAAATACGAAGTTATCGAAAGGAAAGCAAACATCTAGTAAGAGAAGTGCACTAGACCTATCATTCAATAAATTTATATATATATACAATGTTAAGTAGCATGTGAAACAAGAAGGATTCTTGGTAATGTGAATAGTATTAATTTCGATTTTCGAATGGAGAAAAATCATCCAACACGTTTAATATAGGTTCAACCAATTTTATTATCATTTCATCGGAAAAATATTAGTGAGATACTCATTATTAACACTTTAATTGAGAAATATATTACAAAACTGATCTCTAAACAACTAAGCTCTATTAGAACTATAAAACGGTATATTCTGAAATACACTGTATCGTTGTATTATAAGGTTATTATCATGTTAAGTGTACACTGCCTCACAGATGAAGGGATGACGTTCTCCACAGTCAACATCACCCCAGTTATAGTTGTCGTTGGCGTACTCCAACAGCACACAGTTCTGATGGCCTCCTACATTGTTCGGTTGGCCGACATGCCAGCTTGTGTAGTTGAATTTAACTGGTTCTAAGTCCGATGCCCAATAGAAATCCCCCTCCTTAAACTCGTCTTGTCCGCTTGTCCAAAATCCAGTGGGTCCTCCTGCTGCTGACAGGCCTTATAAAACATATATTTAACTATTATAAAACTTCGGCACATTCAAAGTATATCATTATTGTCTTTTTTCTATATTTGACATGCAAATTATAATTAGAAGTTTAAGACATGAACTAACGAGACACTTGCATGCTTGAAACCTACATAAAAAAGTCTGAATCATGTTTATGACTTCTGGATGAAAATGATCGATTGTGATTGTTTAAAACTACTTGCAGAATAATATTATCTTTGTCATTTACTACATAACTAATGTTAAGACATTTTCCGTTAAAATTACTGTTTCTATTAATAGAAACTGTAAGTTTAATTTACCTGAGTCATTATGAATCCAGTTTACTATGTACTGTTGCACAGTTGCAGACGTTACAGACAAGAGATGATTCTGTGGCCACTCTTTCTTACATGCCCGGATGGCGTCTATGTATGTCCTGGGTTCTATGTGAGCTGTATAGCAGTGCTTTGTTCTATCAATTGTCAGTTCTTTTCCATTGCACGAGACAGGTTTTCGTATTCCTAAAATGATTGATAAAATAGTCATTCTGTTCTATTTATTTAGAAAGGAAACACTTGAAACAATATGAATAAAATCGTTTAAAAAGTGCATATTGTTGAAAATCTATATTTGAAAGTTGCACATTGCATTTATTTATTTTTCTCTCCATCTATTTATTATCATTTGTAATTTATCATTAGTCAAAAAGACAGTAAAGTGAGTTATGAGTACAATGGGTAAAGCTATGAATGAAAAATGCGTACGTATACAATATGAAATTATATCTGTATATTGAAATATAACTATATATATAAATATATCGCTTATGGCGCTATTAACAATAATTCGTTATTGCATATGTCTAGTCTCTTTCATGTCTTTCATGTCAAAACCTCAAAATGAATTTTAAAGTATCACATTTAGAGAAAACAGAAGAAGGCAGAAAGACCTTACAGACAGAATGACTTCATTGTTGTTATCAAAGTGTTTTGGGTCTCCAAACAATATGCAATATAGAATAACACTTTCAAAACATTTATATTTCAATTTATACATAATGTGTGTTTCTTTTAGGAATACCCTGGCCTTGGCTATTAAAATACAAGTGATAAGTATCTTTCAAAACAACAGCCGAAAAAAGGAGGAAAAATTACATAGATTTGTTTGTTATGAAACTGAATGGTAATTAAGAGTGAAGAGATGGAACTAACCAATTACAAAAGGTAAGTGTAGACAATGGTTTAATTCAAGAAAGTGTATTAGGTAAATATCTTTTCGTCGGATGGACACGAATACCCAGAAAGCTATGTATAATACATCAATCCTATAAATCTAGTTATCCCAATAATTAATCACCTTGCTATTTTTTAACTTCCCATTTTTTTTAAACTGTTAAAATAAATCTAAAAAAAACTTTCTATCTGTAGTACAATATTGTCTTCTCTTGTGACTGATAAGACGTATACATCAAAATCATTATGTTTAGTGTTATCTAATGTTCAGAGATAAACACGATGGTACCTGCGAGTCTCTCCGTATATTAATTACAAATTAAATATCCGCTTTGTTCAATTTAGCTTCGCGTAACGATAAAAATTTAACTATCAAAATGAACAAATAGTTAGCTAATATATCTGACGGGAGTTCTAGAAAGGCTTAATATATAGAGTAAAATCCGAATAAGTCGAACTCGATGGGACCAAGAGAAATGTTCGACTTATCCGATTATTCGACTTAGCCATGTTTCAACGTACCATTAACCAACAATTAACCATTTCGTATTTCTTTTAGCTCAATTTGGATTACGTTTTTGTTAGATTTGATTTTATCTCTCTTTTCAGCCAGATAATCAATTGCTACAATATATAATTCGGTTTCAACCCGGGAACGAATTTTCATTTTCTTAGCCCAGTCTCTGTCCGTCGTATCTTTCCCTTTCCCTGGTATTCTTGCATAAATTTTTATTCTGATACCGTAGAGGCAAACTGAAACAAGTACCTGAATAACATTTATTAAGTAGTCAGAGGCCAGCTGTGTTTTTTTAAACATTGCATTGTTTAAATCTCACATAGTAAGAAGCTGCTACCCATCTTTTGTTACCGCATTGTTACCCTTCTCCAGCCAGAAAAGACTATTAATGACGTAGGGATCTTGGCGTCATTGTGGTTGCCAGGAAAGATAAAATTGTTCTTACGTGTCTAGAATGTAGCCATCTAACAGAACTGTGCTCACGAATAGTAGATAGATTATTATAAATTTCCAGTTCTGGATAGCTAAAATCATACATTCCCAACTGATGGTGTTTATTTGTTAATTCGATATACAAGGACCTGTTGCCAATATAACGACTGTCGTGCAAGATGTCGCCAATTGAAAGATAAACACACAACACAGTATTCAACAGATGCGAGTCTATGAAAATTATGCTGAAGTTTTTCGGTCGTCATATTGATCTCATTATGAAATATTCTATTTTTTGTGCGATGCGACGCTAGACGTGTTCGATGCTTGTTACTTTGCTTGTGATGGCTTTGTTGCTATTTGGGATTGTGATATTTCTTATTTCGATTGACCAAGATTTGTAAGGCAAGTGGCTTTAACGAAGCAGAAAACGCTTACTCTTCCCGAACACTTCTTATTTTTCTGTTAATGTTTTAGAATATATGTATATATTTCTCTTGTTCATATTTTAACCTTGTTTTATTGAATTTGAGTTTGGATTTTAATTACGTATACGTGTTTCTATCTTCTAAGTTTTTTGGTTTTTATAAATACCCGGTGTGTGACAAGGAGCGTTGTACACCATGATATCGTCAAGAAAAGCATAACCACCAGATAAAACTTGGAAAGCGATCTTCAACAGAAATAATTAAAATTAATAGATGCATTGTCACAGTAAATATGTATATGAACTAACACATATAAATAATTTTAGATTAAACAAAAATATTTCTAACACAACATAACTTTATATTCAAACATTTCGTTTTTAAGAGTTTTATCATATGTTTTGTAATAATTCAAAGAAGATACTTGAAAATTTTGAAAGTTTCCGATTTTATAGAACTAAACCTTAGAAAATGATAGTGTATGTACGTGTTAGAATAGGTTATATTAATGTTTCAACGCTGGAAAATCTACCCACCTGGAACGGCTTGCTGAGGTATTCTTGGTCGGGGACGATTTCCACAAGACTCCATGTAGTAGGGGTGTGAGGGGCTGGGGAGTATATCGGGTAGCCAACCCCTCCATCCTCCTGATTCACACAAGATACAGTAAATTGTATACCAACCCAACTTTAACTTAAAGACATTATTGTGGTTACGAAGGAGGCGGTTCAGATATCACTTGAAGCATTTTGCATGCCAATGTCATGCCAATAAGTAAACACATAACTACATGTATTACAAACCTCAATCAACAATTCGTATTGAGGAGTTGTAATGTTTCCCGGTTATAAATTATCTTCATATCAGCAACCTCCACACTTCTTTCTCGCTTTAAGTAAACAGATGTAAACTCAGGAATCATGCTTTATCAATGCATGTGCATGTGTAAAGGTAGAAAAGACTACCTGTCTGTCACACACTATGGCCTCAGTTTCACAGGCGTTTTAAAATGTCCAAAGAAAAGGAAAAAATGCCTATTGTAATTCTTATTATTCCCCTCACACACACACACACACACACACACACACACACACACACACACACCGTTCCTCCTTCCCCCCCTACCGAAAAAATCAAGATAGCTCTGGCTCAGGCTCACGCAAATAACGTCACTGCATTTGGTCTAAATCTACACAGAGTCTAACGTTCCTTCCCCATTGCCATGTTCCTGTTGAAATCATGCGCAAAGAACAGAAAAAAGTTTCTTTGTGTGTTCCGGTCTAAATCAAGAGAATTATTAAAATAACCTTCTTAGCCCCACTTACTATATGTTATCGACAAATCATACAATGACACTCTTTCCCTCTCATCTCCCACATAATAGACACAAGTGATTATTAAGTTTATGCGTGATTACTGATTGCAAAATAACTAAAACAACCAAATAACATAGTTTCCTACTGGATTGAAAGACACGAAAGTAACAGTCAAGTATTTGGTTTATGCTTACCCTACATATTCATATACCATCGTAATCGGAGAAGCATAACCTTATCATGTGATCACACACGTGATCTATTAAGCTTGAGATGGAGAATGCTTCCACACCGCAAATACATTAAAGCAAAGTTGACGATAAAGGAGTAAGGATACCTTTATAATAGGCCTATTTCATTATCCTTCTGCAAATTCTCCCTTTCCTGACATTGGAAGCCAATGTAACAGTCGCTTTAAATTCTCACCTTTATGTACACCACAAACTGACTGCTTGTGTTTGTTGCCCTCAGATAAAAGCGTATACAGTATGAATTCGCTTTGTCGAACATACGGGAGGTAAGCTGTAGTGAGCTGGTGTCGTAGGTCCGGATGAAATGCCCAGCTGAAAATGGGTAAAAGATAGAGCATTTGCATTCACTGTACATTTGTGTCAGAGTTCATCGCAAAGTACAAGATGATACAAAAGACAGCAAGTGAATAGCAACTTTTCCAACAAGTTGAAAACTACAGTTATGACAAATGTTTCTTCCTTCTAGAACTCGCCAATGGTGCTTACGGCCTAGAGTTTCAAATATGGTGAAAAGTAAAAAAAAAATCCAAAGCTTTCAAATAAATGTCTAAATCCAGATGAGTGCTGCACAAGCTCCATTACTCTATAAATTTTCATAATAATTTTCATAATTCTAATAGAATGGCCAAGTGCAAACCTCGGCGACTAAAAGTCCACCAGCAATGTCAACTGCCTGCAATCTAGAACGTTAACCAAGAGTTCGTTGTATTTCTATTAGCAATCACTTGTCTGGAGGGACATTTTACTCAGACGTTTTGTTATCCATTGTTACAGGTATGCTCTGTCAATTTAACATACACAATTATGATACTTAAATGTTACCTTTGGCCCCCATGTAGGTGTGGTCGCGGACATTCGGAATGGCAGAATATAAATTCCAAGCATAAGAAGATCCTTTGTTTACATAGTTGCATAAATGGCCATCCTCAAAATCACAGTAGGTCAGATTGAACCGGGTCGTTGTGTCTATCAGTTTAAATTTAAACAAATTTCATATTGATATACATTATGGAAAAATCAGTGGGCCACTGACCGCCAGGAATGTTTTGATTCTATCGTAAAATGACAAAGTTGGACAAGATAGTTTATTTTGTAAAGACGAACACATGACCGTGGCTGACACAGTAAGTAAAATCCCGGTTTTCAGCGCCGGATTTTGTTAACAGTGTGGCAAATTTTCTTTGCAAACACTAAATCAATACAGAATTATGTAATTAATCGCCAACATTGTCGTGACTGATTAAGAAGGAAGACATTTCCAGGTGACGGTGTTTTGTGAGCATGCGATCGTGACGCAAAAAAATTACATATCAAGACTGTTGATCAACAGATAAAGATTTTCTTTTTATAATCATTTATACCTCTTTATGTGCATAGTTTAGAGAAAACCAATTGTCATTGTTCATAAGGTTATAATTGGTGTATATATGCATTTTTTAATCGGTAAATGAATCGTTTTTCCGTGATGTCGCGTTATCATAAAGGGAATATTCTGTTTGAATATGCATTTTCGGAGAAAAGGATCAGGAAAAAATTCCAAATGAAATATACAACTCATTGCATCAGTTGTAGATTAATGTGTTTTTCACATTTACATAATCGTATCTCGTCGTCACATGTTTAACATGAATTATGAACTTAAGGATAAACTGTTTGGTTTTATTAATATTCTACATATTACATCATGAATTTTGGTCTTTAACACCAAACGATGTCGAGTGTTAAAACGTCAAAATTAAGTATCTTATCTCCAGCATTAAGACGCGTCAGAATGATTGTCATGGAAACGACTTGAAAATTTATGTCAGGAATTCGATAGTTAAGTTTATCCAATTAATAAATCCGTTACATAATCATTATTGCACTGTTTAAGTTAGATTATAAATGGTTCAAAACATATATAATTCTAAAACAAAAGTGCACAAATTTCGAACGTTGAAAACAGGATTCATTCTATTTGCATTTAAAAGTACAGTAAAGTTAAATACATCAAGTTATACATCTTATGTAAATAAATTAAAATTTGATATGACCTCGCAAAGAACAAGTTTATACAATAGCAAACGGAGTAAAAAATGAATAAATAAACATACCAGTGTTCGGGCCCGGTTCTAAGCATGCACTTTGTAAGATGTTGTCAAGCTGGCCTTTCAGAGTTTTTACCTGGCCTTCCAACGTGCCAATTGTGTTTGATATGGTAGCGTAAGTGCTGGAAAATACGTACATATCTAGGCATCCTTGATCGCTGACCTTTGCCGTCGTTACAATATTGGCTATTACAACCAACGCAATAGGAAGCCAAACCACATTCATGCTGAACTTACCTCTCAGATGACAAGCCTCAGATGCAGTCGTAGTTTATATATGTTTAGGGAAACCTATTCAGTGCAGAAACAGCGGAATGTTTTGTAAAAAAATAATTAAGATGTACTTTTGACCTCGTTAAATATTTCTTTGCCCTATAGCAAACAGCCTTTTGATCCACTTGAGATCACCTGTTTAAGAACACTTAGTATTATTGGAATTTCTGCGCAAAGTTCAAAGATATGTTACAGTCGACCTCGAATGCCCTGCTTACGATATGTATGGCGTTCCTATTCTCTTAGAACGTATGACGGCTTGGCATTTTATTGCTTTAATTGTGCTTATCGACAAACTTATCCTTCAATCGTTGTGACCTGTCCTGCAAATGTAGGGCGCATGGTTTGTACATGATTTTGGCAAAATATAGTTATTTTAATTAATTTTCTAACTCATTAACAACTTTCTCCGGATGTCTTAATTACCATAGTGTTAAGCGCCCGCCCAAGAGAAGACCTTTTGTTCCATGGCTGATACTTCTTGTTTGTCTAGGAATTATATCTGTACAACAGCTATTGTTATAAAGGTGGTTTTTTTCCCGTTTTTACTTCTATTAATATTTATCATATTTATCTACTTTCACAATCGCGGTCACGACTGCCCTTCGCTATTATAATACGGTTGCACTATTTATCATGATAAACGTCAGCGGCTCTAATTGTATCATGAACATGGTGGTGGTTACATGTATAATATTGAGTGTATTTTTGAAACCATGTTTGTAGTAGATTGGTCATGTACAGGAAAGTATTCACAGAATTAATTTTGTAGAATATTCTAGGTGTGTAAATAACATCTTTTTTAGAAAGATACCCTTGGATTTTGGAAATCGCGTTTAATATTTTAGAAACTAAAAAAATTGATTCTACAATTTAACGATACCTTTAATAAATAGACGCCTATTGGAGCTTAGGGGACGTTTCATGACATGGTGGTTCATTTAACACATGTGTATAAAACTAAGGACAATTCGTCAACAAACGTTCATCCTTTTATTTATTATCAAATTATATGTCTTTATACTTCATAAATCACAGTTTAAAGTTTAACCGATTTTTTGGCACAGTTTGGATTGTATTGTGGACAAATGTATTTTAAATATAGTAAACTATATTATTGGATAGAATTAAATTTCATTCATTTTTTTAAATTCAGTTAATAGAAAATTGCTGGAGATTCATGTACAAATTACAGCTAATCACTACACGAGTGTGGCCATCGTATGACATGTAAATACTCTAATTAAGTAGACTGTGACTTAATATCTCCAAAACAATTTTGAATATTATTGAGGGTTCAAAGGTAATTCCTTAATAAGCTGAATATTTTATGCTTATCAGTACAACACATACCAGGAAAGTAGATGTAATACAATATTGTGTATTTCAGTGCCATACATCTGTACATCACAATTACATAGATGTAATATGCACCTTAATCAACGTAAACTTTTTAAAATTTTTAAGTCGTACGGATACATTGATAAATATGATTATGTTACTCTCTTTTTTCATATACAGCTGTCATTGGGGACTGTAACGTTATCTATATCCTCTCTGTAGTATACAGCTGTCACAGGGGACTGTAACGTTATCTATATCCTCTCTGTAGTATACAGCTGTCACAGGGGACTGTAACGTTATCTATATCCTCTCTGTAGTATACATCTGTCACAGGGGACTGTAACGGTATCTATATCCTCTCTGTAGTATACATCTGTCACAGGGGACTGTAACGTTATCTATATCCTCTCTGTAGTATACAGCTGTCACAATGACGTTATCTACATCCTCTCTGTAGTATACAGCTGTCACAGGGGACTGTAACGTTATATATATCCTCTCCGTAGTATACAGCTGTCACAGGGGACTGTAACGTTATTTGTAGCCTCTATGTAGTATACAGATGTCACAGGGGATTGTAACGTTTTCCATATCCATTCGTTATTATACAGCCGCCATCCGGTACCAGAACATGCTATATGCATACTCCTTAATATACTTTTGTCACAATGGACACAAACAGAATCCATGCCTTGTCTTTGTAATACGGAGATGGCTTTATTACACTTTATTAATTATTTAAACGTCACAGTGCTTAATTTGTATCAGGAACATTGACGTAATTACATGTATAACAGTGGGCGATTTTACTATCATGTCTGTAGTAGATTGATCATGTACAGGATGGTATTCACAAAATTAATTTTGTGATATAATCTAGGTGTGCAAATAACATCTTCCTTATTTTTTTAGAACGAAACCCTTGGGGTTTGAAAATAGCGTTTATATACCAGAAATTATACATTTAACAATGTTTTTCCATTTAAACATGATCTATATATACCCTAGTGACTTAATAATTTGATGCATATCGTTCAACGATACTTATCAATGCTTTCAGTACAGGTGCACCTGCATCAAACCAACCTTCATATATGAGTGCATGGAGGGCATGGTCGATCAGGGCTGACTTGACTTTTCATGACACGATGGTTCGTTTAGCACCTCTTTATGAAAAGGGGCCGAAGGATGGGGAAGGGGGTTTCACATCAAACTTTTATCTTCATAAATGTATATATATAACTTTTCTTTGTGCTTCTAACATATTATTGCGTTTAACCAATTTGTTGGCGCACACTTTGGTCACAGTACTAAATTTGTAATTATACAGACAGCGACTTATTATATCCTGACTGTAACATTATCTCTCTCCTCTCTGTAGTATACAGCTGTCAAAGCGGAATGTAACATTATCTCTACCCTTTTTGTAGTATACAGCTGTCACAGGGAACTGTAACGTTATCTATATCCTCTGTAGTATACAGCTGTCGCATGGGAATGTAACGTTATCTATATTCTCTCTGTATACAGCTGTCACAGGGGACTGTAACATTATCTCTACCCTCTCTGTAGTATACAGCTGCCACAGTGGACTGTAACGTTGTCTTTATCCTCTCTGTAGTATACAGCTGTCACAGGGGACTGTAACGTTATATCCTCTCCGTAGTATACAGCTGTCACAGGAGACTGTAACGTTATCTTTATCCTCTCTGTAGTATAAAACTGTCACAGGGGACTGTAACGTTATATATATCCTCTCCGTAGTATAAAGCTGTCACAGGGGACTGTAACGTTATATATGTCCTCTCTATAGTATACAGCTGTCACAGGGGACTGTAACGTTATCTCTATTATCTTTGTAGTATACAGCTGTCACAGGGGACTGTAACGTTATCTATATCTTCTCTGTAGTATACAGCTGTCACCGGGGACTGTAACGTTATCTATATCTTCTCTGTAGTATACAGCTGTCACAGGGGATTGTAACGTTATCTATAATCACTCTTCAGTATACAGCTGTTACAGGGAACTGTAACGTTATCTATATCCTCTCTGTAGTATACAGCTGTCACAGGGGACTGTAACGAAATCTATATCCTCTTTGTAATACAGTGATGGCTTTCACACTTTATTTATTATATTAAACGTCACAGTGCTTAATTTATGTCAGGAACATTGACGTTATTACATGTATAACAGTGAGCGATTTTACTATCATGTCTGTAGTAGATTGATCATGTACAGGATGGTATTCACAAAATTAATTTTGTGTTATATTCTAGGTGTGCAAATAACATCTTCCTTGTTTTAAGAACGAAAAACGTTTAGCGTTTTAGCGTTTAGCGTTTATATATTAGAAATGATACACATATTTGCTTGTGGCTTATAAAAGGTAGCGATGATTTTATATGGTATAAAATGTTGTATCGTTATGGTTTACAATTTAAAAAAAACTGTCAGATAAAAAGGCTTTAGTTTGGTAATTACTCATTGCAATGGCTTTATCTTGAAACACATTCAACAATAATTTGCCCCATTTCAGCTTGACCTACCTATATATACCTTAGTGACTTAATAATTCTATGCGTATCGCTCAACGATACATATAAGTGCGTTCAGATACAGGTGCACCTGCATTAAACCAACCTTTATATATGAGTACTTAGAGGGCATGATCGCTCAGGGCTTTCTTGACTTTCCATCACATGTTGGTTCGTGTATAGCAACTTTTCATGAAAAGGGTCCGAAAGATGGGAATGGGAGGGGTTTTGCAACAAACTTTTATCTTCATAAATGTATATATATAATTTTTCTTTGTACTTCTAACATATTATTGCGTTTAACCAATTTGTTGGCACACACTTTGGTCACCGTACTAAATTTGTAATTATACAGACAGTAACTAAATATATCCTAAAAGACCATGTATATAACTGCGAATAAAAGTGTTACTCCTTAATCAGGTGAAACGTATCTCTATAATACAACACAGAAATGTAGATGCAATGCAATATTGTGTATTTCATTGTCATAAATAGGTACATCACAATTACATCTATATAATATGTACCTTAATCAAAGTGTATTTTTATCAATATCTAAGTCGCACCAGATGTATTATAATATAGGATTAAGTTACTCTCTTTTTCATACACAATTTTCAAAAGGGATTATAACGTTATCTGAAGCCTCTCTGTAGTATTTAGCCGTCACTGGAAACTGTAACGTTATCTATATCCCCTCTGTAGTATACAGCTGTCACAAGGGACTGTAACGTTATGTGTAGCCTCTCTGTACTATACAGATGTCAAAGGGGACTGTAACGTTATCTATATCCTCTCTGTAATATACAACTGTCACAGGGGACTGCAACGTTATTTATATCCTCTCTGTAATATACAACTGTCACAGGGGACCGTAACGTTATCTATATCCTCTCTTTAATACAGCGATGGTTTTTACACTTTATTGTTTATATTAAACGTCACAGTGCTTAATTAGTATTAACTTTTATCTTCATAAATGTATATATATAACTTTTCTTTGTGCTTCTAACATATTATTGCGTTTAACCAATTTGTTGGCACACACTTTGGTCACAGTACTAAATTTGTAATTATACAGACAGTGACTTAATATATCCTGACTGTAACATTATCTCTACCCTCTCTGAAGTATACAGCAGTCACAGGGTACTGTAACATTATCTCTATCCTCTCTGTAGTATACAGCTGTCAAAGCAGAATGTAACATTATCTCTACCCTTTTTGTAGTATACAAGGGAGACTGTAACTTTATCCTCTGTAGTATACAGCTGTCGCATGGGAATGTAACGTTATCTATATTCTCTCTGTATACAGCTGTCACAGGGGACTGTAGCGTTATTTGTATTCTCTCTGTAGTATACAGCTGTCACAATGACGTTATCTACATCCTCTCTGTAGTATACAGCTGTCACAGGGGACTGTAACGTTATCTATATTCTCTTTGTAGTATACAGCTGTCACAGGGGACTGTAACCTTATATGTATCCTCTCTGTAGTATACCGCTGTCACAGGGGACTGTAACGTTATCTTTATCCTTTAGGTAGAATATACTTGTCACAGGGGACTGTCGCGTTATCTATATCCTCTCTGTAGTATACAGCTGTCACAGGGGACTGTAACGTTATCTATATCCTCTCTGTAGTATACAGCTGTCACAGGGGACTGTAATGTTATCTATATCCTGTCTGTATTATACCACTGTCACAACGGACTGTAGCGTCATCTATAACCTTTCTGTAGTATACAGCTGTCACAGGGGACTGTAGCGTTATCTATAATCTCTTTGTAGTATACCGCTGTCACAGGGGACTGTAACGTTATCTATATCCTTTCTGTAGTATACTGCTGTCACAGGGGACTGTTACGTTATCTATATCCTCTTTGTAGTATACAGCTGTCACAGGGGACTGTAGCGTTAGCTCTATTCTCTCTGTAGTAAACAGCTGTCACAGGGGACTGTAACGTTATCTATATCCTGTCTGTATTATACCACTGTCACAACGGACTGTAGCGTCATCTATAACCTTTCTGTAGTATACAGCTGTCACAGGGGACTGTAGCGTTATGTATAATCTCTTTGTAGTATACCGCTATCACAGCGGACTGTAACGTTATCTGTATCCTTTCTGTAGTATACTGCTGTCACAGGGGACTGTTACGTTATCTATATCCTCTTTGTAGTATACAGCTGTCACAGGGGACTGTAACGTTAGCTCTATTCTCTCTGTAGTAAACAGCTGTCACAGGGGACTGTAACGTTATCTATATCCTCTCTGTAGTATACCACTGTCACACTGGACTGTAACGTTATCTATAACCTCTCTGTAGTATTCAGCTGTCACAGGGGACTGTAACGTTATCTATATCCTCTCTGTAATATACAGCTGTCACAGGGGACTGTAACGTTATATGTGTCCTCTCTATAGTATACAGCTGTCACAGGGGACCGTAACGTTATCTATATCCTCTTTGTAGTATACAGCTGTCACAGGGGACTGTAAAGTTATCTCTAAGGTCTCTGTAGTATACAGCTGTTACAGGGAACAGTAGCGTTAGCTCTATTCTCTCTGTAGTATACAGTTGTCACAGTGGACTATAACGTTATCTATATCCTCTCTGTAGTATACAGCTGTCACAGGGGACTGTAACGTTATCTATATCCTGTCTGTATTATACCACTGTCCCACCGGACGGTAACGTCATCTATAACCTTTCTGTAGTATACAGCTGTCACAGGGGACTGTAGCGTTATCTATAATCTCTTTGTAGTATACAGCTGTCACAGGGGACTGTTACGTTATCTATATCCTCTTTGTAGTATACAGCTGTCACAGGGGACTGTAACGTTATCTATATCATCTCTGTAGTATATAGCTGTCACAGTGGACAGACTGTAATCTTAGATATATTCATTCTGAAGTATACAGTTGCCGCCGAAGTTTGAAACATTATCTATACAATGTCTTAGAGGGAGGAGGGAGAAGATACACTATAGAGATGTCGAACACCGTTGTTAAATGAAATACACAACCTGATTTGTTCCAATAGTTGATTTTTATTATATAATGATTGAAATCATATTCTCAGGCTGATAGAAAGAGATCTTCTTCAGTAGGTAAATCCTTGTTTGTGTCGTTTAATCTCTATTTGTTGATTTCACATATGAAGGGGTGTTTCTCGTTACATGCGACGTCACCCCACTCATAGTTACTATCGGCGTACTGCATCAGTAGACAATCTTGGTCACCCCCGACATTATTGGGCTGGCCCAGGTGCCAGTCAGTGTATGTCACAGGGAGGTGAGAGCCTTGGTCAGTCCATTCGAATGTCCCCTCTACTCGTTCATCGTTTCCACTAGTGTAAAATCCATTCTGACCTATTGCTTTCAGTCCTGATAATATTTAAAGTACAATTTGTAAATATATTGTTCAAAATTCATCAATAGTTCAACCACACTGTGCTTCTTTTTTTAAATATATAATAATCGTATTGTTATTAAAAAATTAAACTAATTTTGGATGCTTTTAAAATAGCGATTTGAAAAATCGCGGCATTATTTACGCAGAAAATTGCCGCAAGAGGGCTCTAACTCTTTTTGATATTTCAGCCTATGGGAAAGCCAGGATCGTTAAATTTTGTTGAAAGGCCGTCGAAATAGGCTATGCGTGCTGTGTACGTTTAGCCTAAATAATATTTATATTATCGCAATGAGGGAAATGTCAACGGGAGACATTTTTTTCTGCCATTTATAATCGCAAACAACAAAATTGGCTATGTTTGTTCTTTATTGTTTTGGTCGTTTGATGATAATGTTTACTCCCGTTAATAAGAGAAGAGAAAAACAATGTACATATTTAACATACCTAAAACACGGTTTTTTGGGGGTTTTTTTATCATATCCTTGTTTTTACATCAATGAAAGAACTAGCGAAAAGGGGCCGTTCTTTACCAGAAAAGGAATATTTACATTTACGCGGCAAATTTGCTATATAAGATATGGTAAGAAACTATTAAGGCAACTACTAAGTGTTTTCAAAAATGGATATTCTGTCCAAAATATCACGAAGAGTTGAATGAGCATACCACAGTAAATTACATTAAAATGGGGCATAAAATTGAACTGCCCTAGCTTTGGTATTTACAATCGATGACAGTGTCAATCTTTGAAAACAAACATTTCATTATTCACTTACCTATTTTTTTTAAGAGTTACAGAAAAGAGAGACGACTTACATTACAATTTCTATCAACAATACCTTGAATTCGTTTTAAAGTTGTCTCGACTGTTGATGCAGCACTTACCTTGGTCAGCGTTGATAATATTGATTAGATACGTCTGTTCCTCGGCACTGTTGATAGACACAAGGTGTCCTGCTCCGGTCTGCTCTTTGCACGCTTTTCCGGCATCACCCCAGGTGGCCGGAACTACATGTATCATGTAACAAGCACTAACTGATCCGTTTGATCCACGGTAAAGATGTGACCCGGCGGGACAACTCGATAAATCTGCAACAGAAATGTTATCATTTTTGGTATATATCTGAGATCAGACCTATTATGAAAAATACAGACCAAACCTACTGGTATTCTGACATAGCCAAATGAAATCCTCGATAGTTATGGTGATTTATTAAAAATAACACATTTCTTTAATGAATTTACATTTGTGTTGAATAGCCTCTGGATCACAAAACCTCATGTTTCCATTTATCAATGTTTGGAATGGTGGTCAGGCTTGCACACAAGAATATAATATCTCGTTATTTCTTGCGTGCGTGTTGTTTTGTTTGTTTTGTTTATCGATAAACTTTCAAGCAGTGCTTCCGGTACACAGTGTCCAGTTTATTTCGTTGTTGTTGGTTGTTGGCTTTCCTGCCTTAAAATAGTCATACCAATGTTCAGCTCCATGGGACTAGTGCGACTTGAGTTATTCTTTTTTAAATGTGCTTTTTAAAGATTTCAAATCGACCTAAAACATAACAAAACTTGGTGAAGACATCTCAGGAACATTTTAGGCAAGTTAATCTCAATTCCTGCCGGGTGTAAGTAGAAAATAATTTTGAAGTGTAAAAATGCTTACCACCTTTTTTTCTTGTAATTTTGACCCACATGATCGTCGCCATTTTGTAACTAAGTGAATTAAATTCAGAAATTTGAGAGTCTAGAGAATATGGATTAATCTTCCAGAAAATGTAGTCACGAGACCACTACATTATAGAACAGACTTGACATGGAAAAATCAAGAGCTGCTTTACAACAACAAAGAAGAAATCGAAACAAGGACATCAGGAAGTGACATACCTACCCTGGAAGGACAAATGGTGTTCGGTGACGAGGACAAATAGTTCGTGAACTGAAACTGCCTATAGGCCTATTGACTGATGCTTGAACGACTGTTATGTGGCGTTACATTTGATAGGATGCCGAGCGTATTACTGTGGTCACATTAATATCTGTGGGTATTGAGTGTTCCAAAAGGAATGTTGTTATCAATGGTGCTCAGACTATCGAGAAAGTCAATGTTTTAAGAAACAGATTTATTAATTCAAGGTCTCATCCGAATTGTGGGCCGATTATTTTGTGAAACATAGTAGAACGCCCTTCTCGCTAATGCGTGGGAATACAGTTAACATGGAAACAACCAATTGTCATTGCTGCTGGTATATTACACGTGCATAATAAACTTCAGTTATAGAATTGGCGTTACTACACTGGTTACACGCTTGTCATTCGATGAATTGATGTTCGCGTTATCACTGCGTCTCTCAACATAGTGACATCAACAAATGTTCGTGTAACTACAGCGTTTTTTACCATTATAACACCAGAAATATGTGTACACTTCGGTATTCTCACACTTTCCGTTGATTACAGTGATATTTACTAATATATCACCAGAAATATGTGTACACTTCGGTATTCTGACACGTTCCGTTAATTACAATGATATTTACTAATATAACACCAGAAATATGTGTACACTTCGGTATTCTGACACGTTCCGTTAATTACAGTGATATTTACTAATATAACACCAGAAATATGTGTACACTTCGGTATTCTGACACGTTCCGTTAATTACAGTGATATTTACTAATATAACACCAGAAATATGTGTACACTTCGGTATTCTCACACTTTCCGTTGATTACAGTGATATTTACTAATATAACACCAGAAATATGTGTACACTTCGGTATTCTCACACTTTCCGTTAATTACAGTGTTATTTACCATGATAACACCAGAAATATGTGTACACTTCGGTATTCTCACACTTTCCGTTAATTACAGTGATATTTACTAATATAACACCAGAAATATGTGTACACTTCGGTATTCTGACACTTTCCGTTAATTACAGCGATATTTACCATTATAACACCAGAAATATGTGTACACTTCGGTATTCTCACACTTTCTGTTAATTACAGCGTTATTTACTAATATAACACCAGAAATATGTGTACACTTCGGTATTCTCACACTTTCCGTTAATTACAGCGATATTTACTAATATAACACCAGAAATATGTGTACACTTCGGTATTCTCACACTTTCCGTTAATTACAGTGTTATTTACCATTATAACACCAGAAATATGTGTACACTTCGGTATTCTCACACTTTCCGTTAATTACAGCGATATTTACTAATATAACACCAGAAATATGTGTACACTTCGGTATTCTCACACTTTCCGTTGATTACAGTGATATTTACTAATATAACACCAGAAATATGTGTACACTTCGGTATTCTCACACTTTCCGTAAAATACACCGTTATTTACCATGATAACACCAGAAATATGTGTACACTTCGGTATTCTCACACTTTCCGTTAATTACAGTGATATTTACTAATATTACACCAGAAATATGTGTACACTTCGGTATTCTGACACTTTCCGTTAATTACAGCGATATTTACCATTATAACACCAGAAATATTTGTACACTTCGGTATTCTCACACTTTCCGTTAATTACAGCGTTATTTACTAATATAACACCAGAAATATGTGTACACTTCGGTATTCTCACACTTTCCGTTAATTACAGCGATATTTACTAATATAACACCAGAAATATGTGTACACCTCGGTATTCTCACACTTTCCGATAATTACAGCGTTATTTACCGTTATAACACCAGAAATATGTGTACACTTCGGTATTCTCACACTTTCCGTTAATTACAGTGTTATTTACCGTTATAACACCAGAAATATGTGTACACTTCGGTATTCTCACACTTTCCGTTAATTACACCGTTATTTACCATGATAACACCAGAAATATGTGTACACTTCGGTATTCTCACACTCTCCGTTAATTACAGCGATATTTACTAATATAACACCAGAAATATGTGTACACTTCGGTATTCTCACACTTTCCGTTAATTACAGCGATATTTACTAATATAACACCAGAAATATGTGTACACTTCGGTATTCTCATACTTTCCGTTAATTACAGCGATATTTACTAATATAACACCAGAAATATGTGTACACTTCGGTATTCTCACACTTTCCGTTAATTACACCGTTATTTACCATTATAACACCAGAAATATGTGTACACTTCGGTATTCTCACACTTTCCGTTAATTACAGTGTTATTTACCATTATAACACCAGAAATATGTGTACACTTCGGTATTCTCACACTTTCCGTTAATTACAGCGTTATTTACTCATATAACACCAGAAATATGTGTACACTTCGGTATTCTCACACTTTCCGTTAATTACAGTGTTATTTACTATTATAACACCAGAATTATGTGTACACTTCGGTATTCTCACACTTTCCGTTAAGTACACCTATAACAGCAGAAATATGTGTACACTTCGGTATTCTCACACTTTCCGTTAAGTACACCTATAACACCAGAAATATGTGTACACTTCGGTATTCTGACACGTTCCGTTAATTACAGTGATATTTACTATTATAACACCAGAAATATGTGTACACTTCGGTATTCTCACACGTTCCGTTAATTACAGTGTTATTTACTATTATAACACCAGAAATATGTGTACACTTCGGTATTCTCACACTTTCCGTTAATTACAGCGTTATTTACCATTATAACAGCAGAAATATGTGTACACTTCGGTATTCTCACACTTTCCGTTAATTACAGCGATATTTACTAATATAACACCAGAAATATGTGTACACTTCGGTATTCTCACACTTTCCGTTAATTACAGCGATATTTTCTAATATAACACCAGAAATATGTGTACACTTCGGTATTCTGACACGTTCCGTTAATTACAGGGATATTTACTAATATAACACCAGAAATATGTGTACACTTCGGTATTCTCACACTTTCCGTTAATTACAGTGATATTTACTAATATAACACCAGAAATATGTGTACACTTCGGTATTCTCACACTTTCCGTTAATTACAGCGTTATTTACTATCATAACACCAGAAATATGTGTACACTTCGGTATTCTCACACTTTCCGTTAATTACAGCGTTATTTACTATCATAACACCAGAAATATGTGTACACTTCGGTATTCTCACACTTTCCGTTAATTACACCGTTATTTACTAATATAACACCAGAAATATGTGTACACTTCGGTATTCTGACACTCTCCGTTAATTACAGCGTTATTTACTATTATAACACCAGAAATATGTGTACACTTCGGTATTCTGACACTCTCCGTTAATTACAGCGTTATTTACTAATATAACACCAGAAATATGTGTACACTTCGGTATTCTTACACGTTCCGTCCAAAAGTTAGTGGTGTGCACTTACCATTATGGCTACACGAAGTGTTGTAAATGTACAAGTCATCAATAGCGATATTGCCCCTTGACCCGGAAGTTGTTGTGTACGAATGACCACTGGTGTAGTGAGACGTTTTCTTCGCATGCGTAGTAGCTTCAAACATAAACTGAGCAACGAAATTTATCTAAACATAATAATCAGAAGTAATTCCTAAATCTCATCCAAGCATTTCCAAATCAATCATTGACTTTAACATTTCTAATTAGTCCGATGTTTAAAAAATGTTTTTGAGATAAACTAAAGAGACTATCGTTCAAGCAATTTTATTTCGGTCGTGATAGTCAGATCATCACTCTTAAATTCACTTACTTATTTGAATTAGACCAGCTGTCTCATTACCGAAAAAGACGAAGATTTTAAACACATTTAGGCAAGGATATAATTTTTATTTCTCATTTCCACTCAATTCAGTCGTTTGAAGACAAATACACTGTACACAGAATCTTTAAAGTCTTGTTAAGACTTATGAGATCCTTTCACCTAGCCGTCCGGGGTTCGACTCATGGAACGGACGTGAAAAGGTAACGGTCACCTGCCCGACCACGTGGGTTTTCCCCGGTTATTCAGGTTTCCTCCCACAATAAGACCCCTCGCGCGCTTACATCCGGGCCAACAAGAGTGATTAGCATTAGTTGAAATAACTTGTTTCGCAATTGTTGTAAAACAAATAAAGTTTACAGTTTTATAGCAGAGATAATAAATGTTTCAACAATTACAACCGGTATTTCTCACCGTACATCTGAAAAATGTTGTGATGGAAAGCAGCGACATCGGAAGATATGGTTGTGAGACGTATAGACAACAAAGAGTCCTGTACTTACGCTGAATGAATGAGATGTATACTCAGAGTCGAGTGAGACTTCCGCCATGTGCCAAGCCCTGTCCACTTCTCCCGTATGTACGTACACGGGGTTCCCGAGACCACTTCCGCCGAGTATCTGATTTTATAAAATAAGACACGTGCATTTCTGTCAATATCGCTGTATAATATGTATTTAATGTTAAAGAGACAACAAATACCTTTAAAGTGTGTGAAAATTAGATATTAGTTTCAGTCGTGTCGAAAGTCGATTGAGGCCCCACAAGTGTATATTAATGAAGGGTGTTTAGAGCGATAAAGAATTTATCGTGTGCGTGCGTGCATGCGCGTGTGCGTGTGCGTGTGTGTGTGTGTGAGGGGGGGGGGGGGGGTGGGGGAGAAAATATCATTAATACTGAAAACTGGAGCCTGTTTCATCGTTTTCGAGGAAAGCTTTTATCCTTTGTCAAAAATGTGAAAATTTGAACTTTCAAAAACCACACATTTCACAGTGATCCTGCTTTTTGTTCTTCAATGTTTCCACAATCGTACCTTAGCGTAAACGTTAAGTGTTTGGATGTCTGTTCCGTACATGTTGTACCAGAACCGGAGGCAGTATCCAGTCGACGGCGTCAGGAGTGGTGACGTCATCCTGACGACATGCTCAGTATTGGAATAACTGGCCAAACGTGCAGCATCCAGGTACATGTAATGTCCTGTCACGATTAAAGATCATGTATCTTTCCTAATTTTAAAATGATATGAATTATACTAAAATTGAAAAAAAACAAACAAACATCTTTTGATCTTATCAAATGATAGCGTTGTTATTAAGTAAATATATCCACGTCATGCTTTTTGCGTATTACACATATGTAATTTAGCTTATTATGAAGTCACTTTAGATAATCAAATGACGACACACATTCACTGATGTCATTGTAACGTCACAATAGAGACCATAGATAAACAGCAAACATGACTTCAGGTTTGCCGTCGATATGTCCGCTTTTACCATATTTGATCATGAAATCGATCATGTGATAAAAAAATCTTCAATCCTTTTTCATTTGATACGTCCTTTATGGAACTTTAAGCTCGCTAAAAGCTCAATAAGCCTTTAAAGAAAAATAATCTCAGACCTTTTTTTCATAAAACACGTATCACATGTCAACTCATACAAGGTACTGTCTATAACAAGTCAAGTACGCCACTAACCTAATAACATGGAATCATGTACATAGAAATGTAAACACAAATAAATCACATATATTATGGGGGAAACCAAAACAGCAAAAGTTTTCTCCTAATTAGATAATCTAATTGTTATAATCTATATAGATATTTATAGAAAGAATGGTTATTCCGACAACAGTTTTAATAATTTGTTGAAACGGACACTGGTTTACCTGTTGCTGACCCGTAAGTATGGTCACTAAGAGGGCCAGTGGACGAGGAAACAGTGCCCTTCCCTTGTGTCCAGCTGGTAGAACTGCTATCATGTGTGAATCCACAGAGGTGACTGTCCTCAAAACCACAATAGATCAGGTGATTGTTTATCACTGTAAGTGAAAAATCATCATTTCAAACATCAGCGGTTTTTCGTTTCTTTAAATATCTTTTGTGTTTTACAATGTCAAAAAACAAGTTTCGTAAGAGTTGTTTCTCTTTACACTTCAACTTGTGCAGCCACGTTAATTCAAACAAGTAGTACGACTGATAGAGCATCGGAACAACATCAGGGAAGATTTTCTTTTTTCACCTACTATGTGTGTGGAATACCCATTTATCAAAATATGGCATTTGTCAGTGTATTGTTTTATCATTCTTATTTATGTAACGTACAGTTTTACTATTATAAAAAATATGCGTTAATGATAAAATTGAACCAAAATTAACAAATGCGAATAAATATTCCATCATTTGAAATGGTTTGTTTTCGTGTATTGTTTTTTATTTTTTATGCATCATGGCCGTATCAAGAATATGTGAAAGCTCTACAACAAATCTATAAACTCTTTGCCATATGTTTCATACAAGTAATTATTAACAAACAAAAAAAATAACGGTTTTACCTTGTGATGTTAGCATACTTACCTGAAGACGTAGAGTTTCCTTGGGTCTGGATCGCGACCAATGCAGCATTGCATGTTGTCAAAGTTTTATTAGTCAAGGACATTGCTGATTGGAGCCTGGCGACCTCTGATGCTGCCAATTCCTTCTCCCCTTCTAGACGTAACTTTGAAGCATTCAAAGACGAGTCCGTGCTTTGAATCTTTGACTGGAGATCTTTCTTCTCATTCTGAAGTGTCTGTAGCGCTGCTTGTTTTGCTTGCAACTCGGCAATCGTTTTGGTTAATTCTGCCGATACAGATTCAAAGCCATGTTGTGCTTTACGGACAGTGGATGCCAAAGCATCGACATCACTTTCAATTGCATTAAGATCTGAGCACGAACATCCTGCATCTCGTACAGACCGAGTATTGGTTTGGTTTGCGCAATGGCCGACTATTACATCATACTCACATTGTCCAGAAAACCCACAGGTCTGGTCACCAATGACAACGGAAAAAGAAATGGTCAGAAAACAAACCAGGGGACCTAAATTACCTACAAACATTTTACAGACGGTGAAATGACATATATCTTACTTAGGGTCACTTTGTCGTACGGCCTTATCGTACTAAAGATAATTTCGTATTACACATATTGGAGGAATGGCTTATCAAAAAGGGTCTCTTAGCGAACTAGGTGCTCCAAAAGTGAATACCTTAAGAATATGATAAGACAGCCATTGGTTGAATAACGTGTTTAGACAAAGTGAACTATACGCGTGTTTCCTGCTGCATGTTGAGAAATTCATATATGTGTGCATAAGTGAGGGTAGAAATTTGTCCCAAAAAAGTTAAGAATTGACACAAACACTTACGGTCGGAAGGAAACACAGATAAAATAGACGATTGACATTATTTGAATTTTAAATCGAAATCGCTAAAATTCTTCAAATCCTAAGTCAAAAACTTATCAGTGTAATTTGTCTTTAAAATTGACGGTCTGCATTGAGTTTTTAAAACCGAGGGTCAAGTTTAAAGATTGATGTGTAAGGTTATACTATCTTCAAATTTTTTTTTTAATTTTTTTTTTTTTTTTTTTTACAAAACTAGATTATTTCGGAGGATAAAGTAAAAAAAAGGAATGTTTCGGATTTAAGGTAAAAGTTGTATACTTTGACAGTATATTTAACGCTACTTTTCCGGACTTTGGTACTAGGTTATGAAGATCTGATAAACTAAAAAGTTGATAGTCATGCTATAAGGTATTGTATCAAAGCAAAGAAATGTAATTTTATGTAAGCATTCACGATTTACAAATAACAAACAAGTGATACATTTCTTTCACAAATAGATTTTTTAAAATTTATACAAACGAATGAAAGATACTTGTCATTAGTTTCCCATGCAAACTGAAGACAATTCTGAGGCCACCAAATGTGATATAGAGTCAGTCAGACTTAAAATTCTATCGTCATTAGGCTTCCAGAGCAATAACTATTACAGAGGATGCTGCGTCCAAAGGAAGCATTACCACGGTCAATAGACGATGTATAGAAAAAAACCTTACATACAGTGTTGTGCTTGAAATGGCACTGACGACCTATCTTTTGGGTACTGACTGTGTCAACACTACAAGTTGTAGGATGTTTTGGTTAAAGGTCGGAACAATCAAAGACACTCTCTGGTAACATCAACAAGAGCGCAACTAGATAGATCGATTTCACCAGTCACATGCCGAAGCATGTATTTTACCCTAAAATCCTAATAATAGGACGGTCTTGAGAGTATTAAAAATATTTGAAAAAATTGCCGTAAAGATATTTATTCGAGTATTTTACTCAAACCTACCTTCTCAGCGACGTTTCGTCCCAAGTAGTAAGATTCCGCCATCTTACCGAAACAAAAAAGCAATCCCATGAAATAAGTATTTGCCTGCTGTTTTGGGACTTACATTCAATATTAGATCAGCGATACAAGCAAGTTAGCCAGTCGCATTTCGATATTATGTTACCGGTGTCACAATGATTTTTCAAGAACCTCCTGCTGCAATGAACTAAACAAACGTACTAGAGCAGTCCCCGTCATCTTTCACCAATAGTCTCTATAATATATCGATAGATATTTGGTTTTTATAACAAGTAAATATGGTATCGCTGAAATGTTCACGACTTAATTATAAAATAACGTCGTTGTGTAGTGAAAACTAATGAGACAAGATATGTGTTTGTTAATTAAGCTTCACCTGAATTAGGTACTGAGGAGTAATTTTTATTTCGTCAACATGTAGAAGGTGGAACGTGTCAGTCGGGAGTGCATCAGAAATATCGGCAAGAATGTTAAAGAGTCCTACTATAGGTCCTACGAGAAGGGGAGTTAATAAAAATAACTCTGATGATTCGGCCGTTCTAAACAGTTTAATAGTGAGAGGAAACTTCCACAACTAGACAATAACACGAACACCAATATCATGTAGTGTTTCTATTTATATAAGATTCTACTGAAATTTCTTTGAAGATATCAACACAGTTGGAATAACTGGTGAGGAAAATGGATATCACGACATTTGCTTTATTCAGTAATTAACAGTTTTATTCAGTACTTGTCAATCTAAAATTCGATTTCACAGATGTAGGGGTGTTTGGTTCGGCAGTCAACATCACCCCATTCGTAGTCAGCAGAGGGGTATTCGAGAAGAACACAATCTTGATTACTTGCGACATTGTTAGGTTGGCCAGTGTGCCAGCTAGTGTAGTTAACTCGGTACGGAGTGCCGGTGTCTGTCCAAACAAATGAGCCCTCACTCCACTCGTCTGAGGCGGAAATATAGTAACCGGACTGACCGGCTGCCATTAGACCTGTAGATGACATACAAGTAATGACACTTAGCGAGGAATATACACGACTTATCAGCCTGATGAACCTGAATCTGGGAGCTTGGCACTGGTGTATGTGGACCTATCTTGACCTGTTTATATCGTTTGGACTCTCTTTGAATGGAGGACTGGGGCAAGTATGGCCTCTCGGTACACCTTTCTATATCAATTATTCATGTAGACTTTTTTATCGAATATTGATTAAGCCGTCCTTTCCCCGTATATGTCTAAACCCTTGACTACAACTTCCACTCACTTTGTTTCTTTTACATACTGAAGATCGCCTGTCCTTTACTGTTACGCACCTATATCATTATTGATGAGATGAAGGAGATAGTTCTGGGTTTGTCCATTTGGAATTGTCATCAAATGTCCATGGGCCGATTCCTTCTTGCAATCTTCATTGGCTTTGAACCAAGATAAGGGCGCTGAATGGAAGCTCAAACATGATGTCACGTTGCCAACCGTCCGTTTGTATGAGCCGGGCGGACAATTTGGAATGCCTGGGAAGAATATAATATCCTTATAGCATGGATGACAGACTTCATTAACAATATTAGCATGTACTCAAGGTTTCTTTTTTCAATAAATTGTTTGAGATGCACGTCGATGAGCACTCAGCAGTCTCCGTCATTTTGGAAATAACTGAATGGTCACCTCACAGATCAGGTTTGACGGCATTACCAGAAAGTATGAACTCTGTTACAATGGCGCCCATGAAAGGACTCGGGAATAATCTTAGCCATGCACCACCAACGTAACTTTCACAAGTACCGCTGTGACCCCTGGACACTCGAGTTATTTCCTAGAGAGGGAGTATGTAACTCTGGTAAAATACTAGCCGCAGAATACCGCTCGGATAGAGAGAACTTCTCTTTAGCTCGACCGGTTGAGCTTCAGACTAGTAAGCCAAGGCATCGAAATTGATAATGACCTCTGTTACATTAACAATGCTCAAGCATGGGGTAAACTGACGAAGTTATTTGATGACTGGTATGATGACGGACAGATTTAAATGTCACTTACTGCTGCACGTAGTATTATAAGCGTAAAAGTCGTCAATGGCGATGTTGCCGTATTGGTTATGGTAGACATAGTGACTTCCGCCGCTGGAGCTGTATGTATAGGATTTGTAGGCATTCGTCGTAGCTTCAAAGACGATCTGTACCACAGGTAAGTAAAATTTGCGTTTCAGGAAATGTACATATTTATGGTTTAATGACAATATGCAAACAGACTAAGATTCTCGTAACTTTAAATATGAAGTCCGATATTTCTAGGATCCTGTATTTCAAGTTGTTTTTTTTTCAGTTTCCACCATTTTGACATCACTTCTGGTGATATTAAATACCATGCTTCTGCATACAAATATGACAGCTGATATTTTCGTGGAAGCACTTATTATGTAATTATGAACAGATATAGGCTCATTGCTCCTAGTAGCGTACAAGTTTGAGAATGATATTCAGAGACGCGAATAAACTCATCTTGGTGAGGAAAGGCAAGATGATTGCTCTTTTAAACTCGTTTTATTTGTAGAATAGGATTTAATGAGTCGATATGAAAAAGTTTCAATCTTACTGTAATAGTTTTTAACTGTTTATTTTTCATTTATTTGCATTTGGTACCTATTTCGTTTGACAGCTGCTTTATATCGATATAGTATGAAGATCAATAAAACCCAACAGACATTTTGGGACCAAGGTTTCTTTTAACTTACAGAGAAATCGTTTCTTGTGTACTCGTCGTTGAGGTCAATTTCCGCCAAATGCCACTCAAGTCCTTGATTTCCGTTTCTGGTGAATATAGGGTTTCCCAATCCGTTATGTATCTATTAAACAGAACCAAGTTGTTATATATACATAAAAGACTTATTTACGAACACAGCTAGACGAATAATAGAAAAAAAACTCGTTAAAAATATATGAAAAACTTATGTGAAATCCGAGATAGTTACAAGAAAATCAATGAAAAGTGTGAATTGGGGAAATGGAATGACATGGGGAGGTAGATGGGGGCTGAACAACAGAACTACTGCCTAGCAACAAGAGGAAATTACCAAACTCTTAACAACATCTAATTTGAAACTCGAAACATTTGGAACGAAGGTAAAATATCTGCAAAGAAAGACTTACATGGAGATTCTTTAAAAAGTACAACCAGGCACAAACTAATGAGTATCGAACACATTATTTTTTTCAAATGAGAAAGTAACCCATTTCCCACAGTTGTCATCAACCTGGACCAATGAAACACAGTTGTCAATATTTCCCATGGAAATCGTTATTGTTATTGTGAAAAAAAAACCTGAAATACTTAATCAATTGCGATAGTACCGATATGTGCATTCAATAGGTTGGGGAAACAGGGTTGTTACTAACTAAAAATGGGAAATTTATGAGTTTGAAATGGAAATCGTCACGCTTTCATGCATCTTAAAGAAGAACTTAAAATGACATTCATCAGTTTGGTATAGAAATAATTTATGGAATGGAAATATATCAAAGATGTTTATCTTTAGCGCAAACACTGGTTGCAAACAGTACTGTGAGCCTTCATAAACGTCTGTTTCCCTTATCAAACAGAAAGTGCAAATACTGAGTCTTGGGGACAATTCATTATTCGGCAAAAAGATGAAGGTCCAACTATTCTTAAAGAAGAGTCGTTTGTGTTGGTCTTCTGTTTAAGTCTGGCGTTAGAAGCGTCCGCATGAAATATATAGATATAAATATATGTTTTGCGGTAGGTTATTCTCACGGTGCGTGGATCCATATATATACCTTACATTGGCTTACATATTGAGACTACAGCAGACACTATGAGACATACTTATCGCCTACCTTTGCGTATACATTTAAGTTTTGCACATCACTTCCGTACATATTGTACCAGAACTTGATGCAGTAATTTTGGGATGATTTCATCGATGGCGAGTCTAAGCGGAAAATGCGTGTGTGACCGGAAGAAGAACCTCCAAGAGTTTTGGCGTCCATCAACATGTAATAACCTGGATAGAAATATCAGAAACATTATAAGATCAATTTCTGTGCTATTTGATAATCTTGGACATTATGCAAGTCAAAGCAATGAACAATAAAATCTTGCATGAGGTGGTAAGTATGTTGTTACCGGTCTGTGATCAATGTGCAGTGCACAATAAAATGTATGGTCCGAGATATTTTTATACATTTTTCTTAAAGGGGATATATACTTATGAAATATAACGCAGTAAATTTGATCCGTATTTTATTGGGCTTACATAACATCTATGGTTGTTTACTCCAAGATTCACTCCAAGAAAAAACGTGCACTAAACTTCATTCATTCAAGCGTTAATGGGATGACGATCTGGAAGTAGAGGGAAGCTTACCTGATGGTGTTCCATATGTATGGTCCGCCTCTGGGCCAGTGCCAGAATGGGCAGCTTTGTTAAATAACCAGTTACCATCGTCGCCAGATTCGTGATTGAAACCGCACATGTGACTGTCTTGGAATGGACAGTAGAAGGTGGCGTAATCTCCAGTAAGTGCTGAAAATGTCAGCAATAAATGAATGAACTATTTAAGGTTACAGCGTCTGCCTGAAATAACACACGTAACACAATGAATCAAATTTAACATCCGGTTTATAAAGACGATAGCCATAGACTTAATTCTTTACGAATACATCAGATACTCATATTTGTACCCTCGCTAGTACTAGATGAAATACCTTGAAGTGAAATTATGTTTAAGTGAAAAACATATCCGACTGGATATGAATACTAACTAGATGACGTTGATGTAATTGTGACATTTTATCATTAACAAAGTGATGACAGTAATGAGTTGTGACTTTTATCAAAACAAAGTCAAATGTGTTCTGCCATTCCGTATTAAAACATATTTTGTAGATTCTCTTCAGAAAAAAAAAGAAAAGAAAACCCGTCTGAGAAGTATTGTTTTAAGAAAAATCGAGATGAGCGAACTAACCTGGTACTGAGGATTGGCTGCCGGGGTTGACTACTCCCTGACATACATTCAGATCCCGAGTAGCGTTCTGGAGCTGTTCTCTCAGATTTTTTATTTCCGTCCCCGCTGTGTTAAGTACACTAGCCAGTTCATGGTCAGTCTGGTTCAGGGCGAGCTCCTTGAGGTGGAGTGTGGATAGCAGATCGGCGTTGCCAGCAGTTTCCGTTGCCACCTGTTGGTTAGTCTGTGCAAGTTCAGTCTTTGTCAAATTGAGTTGTTTGAAGAGCTGGTCTACCGCATGCTGCAGCTGATTCACCGTCCCCTGAAGTGTTACAAGGTCATTCTTAGCAAGTGTGACATCATTACATGTGCATTCTCCACCATTCAGATGACCACTGCCACTTGGAGCTGCACTAGCCGCTTGTTGGACGGAGTTGCACTGACCCTCTTGTCCAAGTTTAACGTTGTAAACACACTGACCGTTATAAAAACTACATCCTGGTGTGAAGGCCGAATGGGCTACATTTAAAGTGAGTAACAATATTAACGCGACATATTGGAGGTTCGCCATGTTGGTTGTGACACAAAAACAAAATCGCTGGCACCACTATCAGTGTTATAGACAGACAAACTACCTAGTGTAATGATAAGAAATTATATTGGGACATTGGAGAGGTGAAAGATATGTAGGTGATATCAAAGTTTTGTTGTGTCCAATAGTCTTGTGGGTGTTATTCTGTAGGCAACTAAGTATTATTTATAAGGCGCTATTCTATAATATGCAAAAGTACAAGCACCGGGTCACTTAACTGAAATTATAACACACATAAGCTAGCAGAGTTCAATTATCATCATGTTGGAACAGACTGTGTGAGTAATACTCTAACGTTACAATCGTCATCAGTATTACATTGTGTCAAAACATTCTCAGAAGATACAATATCATCTTTAACTTTCATGACGTCATACGCATCGCAATTTACCACATTCGTTTCCACACTTGGCCAGTTTAGTGTATTATCAACTTTTTCCACTTTTTCTAAATCAACTTTGCTAAAGTGGCAAACTTCTGGCTGAGTAATATTGGTATTCGTCACATCCGGTCTCTCTGCGTACTCCTTTAGCGTGTAAACACTTGCCTTCCCCACACAGACGTTCTCATGTGACGTCATACTAACGCTTTCCTCGTCATCTTCTTTTAATACACTTAAATTCGTCCTATAACTCCTCAGATTAATGCCGTAGAGATTATGATGTCTGAAAACTTTCAAAGACAACTTCTTGTGGTAATTCCTGCACCCGTGAAAACTTCCTCCTACGTCTTCAGTTGAAACTGGCGGCGGTCTACCTCCGCGAAAAACATATCCTTTACTTCGCAATGGTGATATACTTTGTTTTGTTGCAGGCATCTCACAACAGCCCCCAAAACAACACATCACTGCTATAATTACGATAGACACCGCAGAACAGGCAAATATAAGAAAGGCCAAAAGACTTGGTTGGTCCAGGAGGAGGGCGGATTCGTGATCAAGTGTTACATTCATCTTTGCCCTGGCCCTTGAATGCTCTTCTTGTAAGCAATCAATATCTCACAAAAATACTTGGAAAACTGAAACTGAATATAAGGCAAACATCTAAATACACTTTTTCATGTAACATATACACAGTGTTTCAATGGAATGTAGAATAAAACATTACCGTTATATCTGATCGGTCAATGTGATTGTGTAAATAATGATAAAGTGAGGCCAGAGTGAAAGTAAACAATATTACAATCTATGATGAAATGATAAGGATTAACTTTAATTATTTTTGAAAATCTATTATCGTTCACTGGCTTAATAACATCGAACAAAAAATTAAATCCTTAAGTATTTGTTGAGTAATTATCATTCAGCATTCTCTTAGCGACAAGATCCTAGGTCATGATAAAGAATAATTACCCTTGAATTCAAGACGCTTCAACTGAGCCCCATGGGTTCCATACCAAATCACACGTCCATAGTGCAGTCTTACTAGTATATTATAATTGATCGTAATGGGTATTAAAAGATAGCAGAACTTTGGTAATACTGTTCAACTCCAATATGGCAGGACCTAAGGAATATACCAAATGACGGTAACTGTGAATAAAAAACAAATGTTTTGCGTAGGAATAGCGATTGAAGGTTAACTGTGAGAGAACAATGATAAAACCCCCAGAAGACAACCCAGTATGGGTGGTATAACATAAGCCTTTACAGAGGTACAGGCGAGAGTGAATCAGTATTGCAATTGTCTTACTCTTTAACAATACTAAGATGTACACTGATAAGTTTCCATCCAATGGTATGAAAAATAAGCATGTTTCAGGTTTCCGCTGGTAAAATTGCCACAAGAAACAAAGTGACAATTACATCGGCAGGAACGATTTGACGATAGAGCTAGCTATGCGAATAAATATTGTTTACACGATTTCAAGAAAAACAGAATTATATGGGTTCAGGTTCACAAGATATGGTATTCAGATTACTCGAGGTGTGCATATCGGTAAACCATGGAAACTGTGAACAATATTGTATGTAACACTACATGGTTGTATTACATCGCAGGAAAACCTGTAATTATTTGTCGTCAAAGCGTTTTTATAACGTCATCATTGGCCATCAAAGCGTTTTCATAACGTCATAGTTTGTCATCAAAGCGTTTTTTATGGTGCAATTATTCCACGTCTCACTAAGAATGGGTTTATAACGGAGTTACCAAGTTTGCTAGTTTGGTATAAATGGCATAGTTCGATATCAACCCCTTTTGGCGGTATTTAGATAGGCAAACGTAATGAAAAGCATGTTATAGACGTGTAATAGTATTCTTATATAATAATATACGTACCCTTCAGATTAATTGATTGATTGATTGATTGATTGATTGATTGATTGATTGATTGATTGCAACGAATCTGATTTGCAGCTACCTCTAAATAAAATAGTACATTGCATATCCAAAGTCATGCAACATTTCAATCAATAACTGTACACAAATACAATAAAAGACATGACAATGACATTTGATTGCAATAGAAAATATTTAAAGAGGATCAAACATAGATTCATATCGACACCATTTTAAGATGATGCCGAATATGACTTGATATGATTTGCAGCAATGCTGCATCACCGTAGAATCAACGCAGCGATGGAAAGGTGACCAGATAGACAAGTAGAATTTATAAATATCACGCCATCTTTTTATTTAAGGAACCATTGTCTAGTGAATTTTCTTCATCGTTCTCAGTGTAACTTGACAGCGATGGAAAAACAACTGGATAGATAAACATAAGTATCACACCAACCTTTTATGTAAGATTCCATCGTTAGATCAATTCTTCATTGTTCTCACTGTAAGTAGAAACTACACCATTCCGTCAGTATTAATGTCACATTCTGTCAACATTCTGACTGTCCAAATGTGCTCCCAAAATGGCGTCTTAGACAACACAAAACTTATCCGAAAGGTCAGAATCACATATTCCTGACGATGTACGAGAATGTTTTTCGCTGCGGACAGATCGCCACTGAAATGTCTGATTCCATACCTGGCACGCAGAGGCGTACAGGTGAATGTAGAGGTCGGGCATAGGTAAATTAGATATAAAATATTTATAGACGATGTCTATGTAGGGATCAGCGTTTGTAGCCGTCACCTACAATCTGGTGATGGATTGATTTCGTGTTATCAGTTCTGTGCCGGATCTTCGTTAAAACAAAACCAGAACACTCACTTTCTGGAAATCTTATTTTAGGTTCAATTGCTTTCAACCTTTATTGGTTTCCGCATTTAAACATAGCAATGTGTATTTAGCAATATACAATCAAAAGCGGAGCAGAACATAGATATTTACTCATGGGGAAAGTAACTGTTAAAACGGTAAAGGTTACTTACGGGAAAATGCTATTTTTAACCTAGCAGAAGTAATATAGTTTTTTTTCAAAAATAAGAAATGGCACTTCCTAAAGTGGCCATATAATGTAAGTCAGGTCCTTATTACGCGCCAGAACAATGAATATTTCTGCAACACAGGAAGCGGTAAATCTAAAATGAACCTGGGTTTACCTGAGAAAGGTATTAACAGACATAAAATTTAACGTGACAACGGGCTTCGTTACACTGGACAGAGATTCAAAATTAAGAATTTCGTTTTATACGCCATGTTAGCGAAAAATTATGCATACTTTCGGTTAGTTTTGCTCTTATAGCTTTAGATAGTTCCACACATCGTAATATCTCTGATTTATGTGTTCATTTTTAGAGTATAACGATCAGTAAATGCCTAAACAGCAAATTCTTCCATCTCGCTCTCTAAGCATCAGGTTGATAGAGCGATGAAAATCAAACAGGACTGCGAGGAACAAGACTAACTTCCCTCTCTTACCGTCGAGTTATCGAACCCGCGAACACTTACAGTCGTGGTCTCCCTCTCTCACCGTCGCGGTCTCGTACCCGCGAACACTTACAGTCGTGGTCTCCCTCTCTCACCGTCGCGGTCTCGTACCCGCGAACACTTACAGTCGTGGTCTCGCTCTCTCACCGTCGCGGTCTCGTACCCGCGAACACTTACAGTCGTGGTCTCGCTCTCTCACCGTCGCGGTCTCGTACCCGCGAACACTTACAGTCGTGGTCTCGCTCTCTCACCGTCGCGGTCTCGTACCCGCGAACACTTACAGTCGTGGTCTCGCTCTCTCACCGTCGCGGTCTCGTACCCGCGAACACTTACAGTCGTGGTCTCGCTCTCTCACCGTCGCGGTCTCGTACCCGCGAACACTTACAGTCGTGGTCTCCCTCTCTCACCGTCGCGGTCTCGTACCCGCGAACACTTACAGTCGTGGTCTCGCTCTCTCACCGTCGCGGTCTCGTACCCGCGAACACTTACAGTCGTGGTCTCGCTCTCTCACCGTCGCGGTCTTGTACCCGCGAACACTTACAGTCGTGGTCTCCCTCTCTCTCCGTCGCGGTCTCGTACCCGCGAACACTTACAGTCGTGGTCTCGCTCTCTCACCGTCGCGGTCTCGTACCCGCGAACACTTACAGTCGTGATCTCGCTCTCCGCTTCGCGTTGTCCCTACCTCGCGTAGTGAGGTTCGAGTGTTTTGTTATTTGGCCCTAACCAGCCACCATATTGAAAACTCTGTATTTCCTGTTTTACATGCCACCTGGCGCATATAAATGCATTACCCAGAATAAACTTAATCTATTATTTAATTTGTATCGAAAGGATCAATTTACTTGTGTTCCTTTTGTACAATCCTTTGATACCGACATGACAGACGTTTCATGTGATTTCGTCTTTTATTCTTACCACTTTGATATTTCTTCCCACACACGTCATTCGGCTTCATGCTAAAGTTTATCATTCGAAAAAAAAAGATATATCTACTATATATATACATATATTCACCAGCTGCAAAACTGTCCTCGACAAACGCTTGGTAGTGGCTGCTATATTGAAATTATAACAAAAAGATAAAGCTTTATTTGAAGAATAATACATGATGTGAATGATCAATAATGAAACAAATTATCGTCATATACTTGTGTAAACATGACGAATCCTAAGGCCGTCCTAGACATGCTATTATAAGGTTATCACTCATCACGTGTGTAAACATGACGAATCCTAAGGCCGTCCTAGACATGCTATTATAAGGTTATCACTCATCACGTGTGTAAACATGACGAATCCTAAGGCCGTCCTAGACATGCTATTATAAGGTTATCACTCATCACGTGTGTAAACATGACGAATCCTAAGGCCGTCCTAGACATGCTATTATAAGGTTATCACTCATCACGTGTGTAAACATGACGAATCCTAAGGCCGTCCTAGACATGCTATTATAAGGTTATCACTCATCACGTGTGTAATCATGACGAATCCTAAGGCCGTCCTAGACATGCTATTATAAGGTTATCACTCATCACGTGTGTAAACATGACGAATCCTAAGGCCGTCCTAGACATGCTATTATAAGGTTATCACTCATCACGTGTGTAAACATGACGAATCCTAAGGCCGTCCTAGACATGCTATTATAAGGTTATCACTCATCACGTGTGTAAACATGACGAGTCCTAAGGCCGTCCTAGACATGCTATTATAAGGTTATCACTCATCACGTGTGTAAACATGACGAATCCTTAGGCCGTCCTAGACATGCTATTATAAGGTTATCACTCATCACGTGTGTAAACATGGCGAGTCCTAATGCCGTCCTAGACATGCTATCATAAGGTTATCACTCATCACGTGTGTAAACATGACGAATCCTAAGGCCGTCCTAGACATGCTATTATAAGGTTATCACTCATCACGTGTGTAAACATGACGAATCCTAAGGCCGTCCTAGACATGCTATTATAAGGTTATCACTCATCACGTGTGTAAACATGACGAGTCCTAAGGCCGTCCTAGACATGCTATCATAAGGTTATCACTCATCACGTGTGTAAACATGACGAATCCTTAGGCCGTCCTAGACATGCTATTATAAGGTTATCACTCATCACGTGTGTAAACATGGCGAGTCCTAAGGCCGTCCTAGACATGCTATTATAAGGTTATCACTCATCACGTGTGTAAACATGGCGAGTCCTAATGCCGTCCTAGACATGTTATCATAAGGTTATCACTCATCACGTGTGTAAACATGGCGAATCCTAAGGCCGTCCTAGACATGCTATTATAAGGTTTTCACTCATCACCTGTGTAAACATGGCGAATCCTAAGGCCGTCCTAGATAGCTATTATAAGGTTATCACTCATCACGTGTGTAAATATGACGAATCCTAAGGCCGTCCTAGACATGCTATTATAAGGTTATCACTCATCACGTGTGTAAACATGACGAATCCTAAGGCCGTCCTAGACATGCTATTATAAGGTTATCACTCATCACGTGTGTAAACATGACGAGTCCTAAGGCCGTCCTAGACATGCTATCATAGGGTTATCACTCATCACGTGTGTAAACATGACGAATCCTAAGGCCGTCCTAGACATGCTATTATAAGGTTATCACTCATCACGTGTGTAAACATGGCGAGTCCTAATGCCGTCCTAGACATGCTATCATAAGGTTATCACTCATCACGTGTGTAAATATGACGAATCCTAAGGCCGTCCTAGACATGCTATTATAAGGTTTCCACTCATCACCTGTGTAAACATGGCGAATCCTAAGGCCGTCCTAGATAGCTATTATAAGGTTATCACTCATCACGTGTGTAAATATGACGAATCCTAAGGCCGTCCTAGACATGCTATTATAAGGTTATCACTCATCACGTGTGTAAACATGGCGAGTCCTAATGCCGTCCTAGACATGCTATCATAAGGTTATCACTCATCACGTGTGTAAATATGACGAATCCTAAGGCCGTCCTAGACATGCTATTATAAGGTTTCCACTCATCACCTGTGTAAACATGGCGAATCCTAAGGCCGTCCTAGATAGCTATTATAAGGTTATCACTCATCACGTGTGTAAATATGACGAATCCTAAGGCCGTCCTAGACATGCTATTATAAGGTTTTCACTCATCACCTGTGTAAACATGGCGAATCCTAAGGCCGTCCTAGATAGCTATTATAAGGTTATCACTCATCACGTGTGTAAACATGACGAATCCTAAGGCCGTCCTAGACATGCTATTATAAGGTTATCACTCATCACCTGTGTAAACATTGCGAATCCTAAGGCCGTCCTAGACATGCTATTGTGAGTTTATCACTCATCACGTTTGTGATGTTAGCAGTGTTTAAATTATTCTTTTCTATATAAATACGTTTATTCGTAACAATGGGAAAATGTTTTATATTCGAAATTCATATTTAAACCAAAAGAAGAATAAAAACAACTTATGAAATAAATATTCAACGTTGTAAGAAAATAAACGTATTCCTTTTTAGGAAAAATCACTTTGTGAAATATGCATGTCAAAAATCATTACATAATAATAATAATAGATGTTGCACAATGTTATCGAGGATATAATAGTAATATATGGGAGTTTCCAATCAGCTCCTGTTTCTAAGTCTGTGCACGGGGACGCAAGGAATTTTGTAAAACGTCGAAATAGGCATTTTCTTCTGTTGTTCCTAACACTAATTAATGTGTGCCTATTTTGGTTTGATGAGAAAGGATGTAGTGATATAATGAAGTTTCACCAATGTAGCATGTTATCGAGTATCAACCCCCACCCCCAAACACCTTTATAAAATAGACATTGATGTTACATAATAGTTCCCTAGGTTGAATATTCTGTCTAAGTTAACTGCGTTTTCCTCATCCCCAGCACAGTCCAATTTCAGGCGTTAAAGTTCAGGCTCAGATTACAGATTCACGTTTTCTATCTTGACTGATCAAGTGTTGGTTGATGAGAACTTCCATGGCCTCACCGTCGATGTAATTTTCTGAGAATGATTCAGTGGATTTTTTCTCTCTATCTCTAATTTGCTTTTTTTCGAATGCAGTATCAAAATTTCTGGAATTATAGGGGTTTATATTTTTACAAGTAAACATAGTCTCAATTTGTGTTGCAATGCGCATTCTTACTTTACAGTTTTACAAAGGATAAAGCCGTCATTCTTTGCTCATAAATCTAACCAAGTTTGAAATATTTCCATTGGAAATTAAACAAATTACGCTTGAAAAAACACTTTTTTTATGTAAACTATAGTAAAACTATGGCTCCTCAGGCCCCTTGGGGTGGAAACCTGTATATAATTCACTCTTTTGGTTCATCTATGACAAGGGAGTGTTTCTGTAAAATCTCATTGAAACCATGTCAGTCGTTTTCGAGAAGAAGTTGAAAATGTTGAAAGTTTACAGATGCACGACACGTGATCGCAATAGGTCACCAGGAGACTTTGTCATAGGTAACACAGTGAGCAATATTTAGACGAAATCATTACGTCAAGTCTTCCAAAAGCAGTCAAGATGTGAAATTGCTTGAGGATGTACAGAATGCAATTCTTTCAAAGAGAGTTAAATTACATCCAATTCAATATTAATTCATGAGCACATCTCCATATGAAAGCACGTACAATTTTTATTTTTTCCCATAAAGGGATATATCTCTCTTCAAAATTGTTGAAAATGAAAATCACTTAGGGTTAAATCAATGTGCAGAAGAATGAGTGAATGAATAGCCATTCTTTCTTCCATAAAAGGATATAGCTCCCTTAAAAATGGTTAAAATGCAAAATTGTGTCTGGTGGCATGAAATTTTAGGAAAATCCATTGAAAACTGAGTCTGACAAATTGTCTTATTTTTTTCTTAAAGGCCCATAACTCCTTAAAAATTACTTCATTAGGCACAACTCAATGTGATTTTGACATTTCAACTAAAAATGTAAAACAAAAATGACAGCTATAATTCATCCTGACCCTTCCGATCAGATGACCTAAAAAAAGTAAACAACTCTTAAATAGGTAAAATAAATCAGTTTATTTCAAGTTTACAACAATTTTAATTTCAGGATAAATTTCATAGCACATTGATAGTTGATAGTCAAGTAGCGCTACATACATATAAATTTCTTTGCTGCAACATAAATTGTGAAATGAAAGCTCTGTGGAGTATTCTGAAATAAGGTATCAGCTGAGTGACATTACTTCACCACCACCACCACCTAGGATAGTCTCCTATCACAGTGACTGGCAGTTGGGAGGTTGTCAGTCACACAACCCGTCCAAACAAATGGCCATCAAGTAAGACAAACCAGGAACCTCACAGCATGTTGATGCAAGGTCATTTAGTTTTTAAATATTTCAAATGAAAGTACTCCAAACTGAAAGCATTTAATAAGCTATGAAACAACAAACAAAAGTCATGTAAATGTTTTATGTCTAAAACTTAAAAAATATGAGCATAAAATTCATTTAAAATGTTACTAATCTTTCTTACATGGAAAAGTTGTTCCTATAGACAGTGAATGAGAGCGATGATTTAGAGAAAACCAATTACAAATATCATAACTATCATAACTAACCTATCACACCCATTCAGCTAAATCAATTGACCAATCAGACATTCTCCTCATCTTAATTGACCAATCAGACATTCACCTCACCTTAATTGACCAATCAGACATTCACCTCATCTCATTTAAACAATCACACAAATGCAGCAAACATAGATTCAGCTCATCTCAACTGACCAATCACATACATTTATGATATCTCATTCAAACTGACCAATCACAAGACAGTTCATTTAGCCTAATGAATCACACATGCTCAGCACTTCTGAAGTGATGGATGCCCTCTCCCACATTTGACCAATCACACACAAATTATTTATTTTCTGAAGGTTATAGATACAGAAAAATTGTGGTTTTCTAAGCATAATTCTGTATTATAAGCCCAAAATGAAGCCTACACAATTTGAAATTTAATTTTCAGTGAAAATGAGAGCCAATTTGCCCATGACTATGAAAATGAGTCAACAAACTCCACAAATATGTCATTGCATACAGATGTAAAGTTCGTAAATAGAATCATTGGTTATCGTAATGAAAAACTTCAGTCAACATGTTGTAGTTGAGTAATGAATTTAAGCGATATAATAAAAACTAAATCTATGAATTTCCAAACAATTTAAGAAATAAAAACAGTTAGCAGACATCAAAAGATATACCCATACCCCCAGATCAAAATAGTCAAGGGCGATCTTTGACATTTCACCTTGACCAATGACCATCAAAATTTAATCAGGTGCTTTGATGCTATATTGTGAATATGAAACAAATCTGTTCAGGGGTTCACAAGATATATCTTGTACATAAGATTATCATGGATTCATATACTCAAGCACAGATGCACAAAGTATATATTAATCTCCTTTGTCCAGTAATTATCCCACCTGTTTTTGTCTGAACTTATCACAGGTTAGATACAATAAATACAGACTTTCATATCTGTCTTACATATTTAATGACTTTCATGTGACAATCAGGACAAAATTAAAAATCAAACTCGATTTCCAATACTCATTATTTTTAAAGTCACATATTGTGTTAAAATATGGCTTGCCAAACTCTTGTATCACCAGTATTCATCATTGAACCATGTCTTTTACTTGCAATGTTTCTGTTACAGAATATGTATCCATGTATCTATTTTTTAAACTTTTCACTCCATCCTCAGCCTCCAAGCTTAACATGTTTATCCTCAATATTGACTTTTCCTTCTCTTCCTCCTTCGTTTAGATTTATTAGAGGACTTCTTCTGGTGGTTGTCTGAGTCTGATCCAGAGTCTGATGAGGAAGAGGAAGAAGATGAGGAGGAGGAACTAGAAGATGATGAAGATGACGAAGATGATGATGATGAGGAAGAGGAAGATGAAGAAGAACTAGTGGAATCTGAATCGCTGTCAGATGAAGATGATGAGGAAGAACTGTCGCTGTCTGAATCCTGATTGCTGGAACCTGTGTCAGATGAAGAATCTGCTTCTGACCTGTCAATCACAAATACCAGAAGTAGAATTAAGGATATCAACAAACTACTTCTTCATTGTTTAAACTACATCGATATGAATGACAATTTTAAATCACAAATTACACCTAATATACAGTTATATACAGAATCTTACTTAGTTTCAATTTCAAAGGTGATTTATAAAACAAGTCAAAGAAATTTTCACTTTAGTAAGCTTAACTGAAAACGACTAAAACTGTTCTAACTAAATAAAGTCAACTGGTAAACTCAATGATAAAGGAAATCTGATATAATATAACAGTACTACAAACTTCCATGATTCTTCTGTTGACTTTAATCTATCAAATCTCTCCATAAATGCATATTGTATTAAATATGTACATTAGCACAATTAACTCTTCCACTGATGGATTTCAGGTTTGTACACCATAAAACCACATAACAGTGACTTTGACATGCATCTATCAACAACTTGACCTGAAAGTGGGCGGAGCTTCTACATCATCAATGGTTGAAAGGAGCAATATGATTGGCTAAGAACAAATGAGAGGTTGCTTCAAACAAAAAATCAGGTGTCAGTTTCTGTTGTGTTTCTATTTTAATTCTGATATCTACTTCACTTTAAGTCTCAAATAATTTCTGAATGGGGATAAGGTATTTGTTTTCAAGAATCCACCTGAAAATTAATCATGAATTTGGTCGTTTCAATACTTGACTTTCTCATGTATTAGAATAAAAATTCATAATCTCTGGAATCTGGAAGTTGATGCATAAAAGCAAAAATTCTATCCCCTTAGAAAGTACTTCCCGATCAAATGCACTGAGAAAATATATATGTTGCTCAATGAGAAAGAATTATATGGGATACCACTGTAAAACCTGTTATTATCACTACTTTGATCAAAGGTGCACAATTACTGATACTATATATAGCAAGGGCAAAATTTACCAATGGCCAAAAATGAACACTTCTACCTAAGGTTGAAAAAAATAATCTGGGCGATTTCTGATTACAGTACTGATTAGATGTATTACAAAATGTAACTGTGATGGCTAATAATTTTGATATTTACTTTTTCTTCTGTTTTTTCTTTTTCTTGTCCTGAACACTGGTCACCTTGAGTCTGTAATGAAATAAAACAGCCATGTTAATTTTGGATACAACAAATCACTTCTGGTGTTTCCAGCTTTTTGCTGATATTTCTTAACTACGTTTCCTTCAGACTTCATACAAAATGATAAGCTCCTAGTTCCAAGCTGCAATTTTCTGAGTAAATCATTAATTTGATTTATTGTCATTGATTTTGTGGGTCCTCTAAACACACAACTCCATATGTCCATGAATTGTTGATATAAGGAAATGTTATTTTTCAAAACAATGACAAGGGCCCTCAGAAACAGGTTATGCTTCCTGATTGGGACAAAAATACATACTACATAATATGCACTTTTTTTTTTTTTTTGGTGGGGGGGAGGCAGGAGGAGAAATGAATGTCCAAAGTTGGGGGTGCAAACATTACGTAGCTATAGGATTATCAAGTTTTTTTTATATCTATGAAAAAATAACCATGGGCAATAACTCCTAGATTATGAAAAAAGAATGATAGATTTTGTGCACTGTACTTCTACTTGGGAGCATAAAAATGGAGCCCCATACAATTATGATTTTAAAGTGACACATGCTAATGACACTACCATAATGAATATGATCAACCAACTCTGTAGGCTTATTGTGGATGCTTCTTTCTTTCAGCTTCAACATGACTAAGTTACCATTAAGGTATTAAGAGTGTAATGGGAAGAAATTTGAACATTAAACAAACAAGAATACATAAAATCCTTCACCTCTGAGGAATTTTTTCACAAAGTTTTCAAAAATAAAGGTAAATGTATTGCTGTATCCTCATACCCTTGATTCTTCTCCAACAACTGAGAGGGTATACCATTTAGTGTGACATTTTCTCAAATGTAAATTGCATTCACTGAATGTTTTATTTTCCACACTTTCTAAATTGGTTTTATTTTTCAAATGACAAAATTGTATTGGTTTTGGAATGGATATCTGTTAAAACAGTAATTAGTTGATGTCTAAGGCCTGACTTTGCTAAACTTTTTTCAACAAAATCAAAACACAGTATATTCAATAATATTATGCCAGAACAAAAGTCAGTGGAAGGATCAGGCTTAAAACTTCAGTAATTAGAAGTAAGAAGTATAAATTATGGGGAAAGTAAGGAAAGTTGTACAGTGTAATTCTATTCACTGTTCTTTTAAACCTGACTGATTTTGTTACTGTCATGCAGTCAATGATTAGGGGACGGAAGGGGTATATGGCACAGAGCAATCTAATCTGCACATGTGAAATATAAAGTCTCCTTGCACAATTGATTGTATTTGCTCGAATCTGGCCGAAGTCATTCTTTTACAATTGTTGCCAAGGTGACAGTCGAGGAAAGTTTGTCCATTGCACGATTGGAAACACCACATTCAGAAAAATTGAATGCTTTAAACACTTTCAACAAACTTAGTTTGAAAATATCATTTTAGAGTGTGGGCTTAGTTATACCAGAGTGACGAATTGTGTTAAACATCATGGCATGTGTCATGGATTGTGCAGATATTCCCATTTCTTGATTTCCCAACAGCAATTGTTCATGGTTAGGTATAATGGTCCCAGATCACAAAACTTGCAGGTCTTAAGTGCTGAGAACAAACAATGTATTTCTACCTACTGTTGCTTCTGTTTGCATCCATCATTATCAACATTTTGGGCAGACGTGAATCTTACGTTTTGTTATTCAAGGAACGTAGTAGTCATTAACACTAAGATCTATCACCTGAGGTTATATTCATATCTAGGCCTAATTATTTTTATACATAAGTAATCAGGGTAATTATACTTTTTTCATTCTTTCTTTGTCTGTCTGGAATGGCTAGTGACAGTGTTTGTACAAATTATCATCTACCAGGCATTATCATAATGTAAACCCAAGATTGACGAGGTCAGAAACATAGGTAAACATCAGGATTTTGGCTCCAGGTTCTTGATTAAACCCATAATGCCTAAATTATTTAAGGTTCATAGCTTGTAGTTTTGAGGTACAGTATAACAGATCATTAGAACTAATATATAAGAAGGGCACCATTACATGCAAGGTGAATTCTTTGATGATTCTTAACTCGTAGTTTATATGCAGTGTGTATATGATGGTTATTAACTCGTAGTTTATATGCAATGTGTATATGATGGTTATTAACTTGTAGTTTATATGCAATGTGTATAAGATGGTTCTTAACTTGTAGTTTATATGCAGTGTGTATAAGATGGTTCTTAACTTGTAGTTTATATGCAATGTGTATATGATTGTTCTTAACTTGTAGTTTATATGCAATGTGTATAAGATGGTTCTTAACTTGCAGTTTATATGCAGTGTGAAGGTGATGGTTGTTACCTTGTAGTTTATATGCAGTATGTATGTGATGGTTCTTAACTTGTAGTTTATATGCAGTGTGTAGGTGATGGTTCTTAACTTGAAGTTGATATGCAGTGTAAAGTTAATGGTTCTTAACTTGTAGTTAAAATGCAGTGTGTATATGATGGTTATTAACTTAAAGTTTATATGCAGTGTGTAGAGGATTGTTCTTCACTCGTAGTTTATATGCAGTGTGTATGTAATGGTTCTTAACTCGTAGTTTATATGCAGGGTAACATTGATGGTTCTTAACTTGTAGTTTATATGCAGTGTGTAAAAAGTTGATGGTTATTAACTTGTAGTTTAAATGAAGTGTATAGAGGATGGTTCTTAACTTGTAGTTTATATGCAGTATGTATGTGATGGTTTAACTTGTAGTTGATATGCAGTGTAAAGTTGATGGTTCTTAACTTGTAGTTTATATGCAGTGTGTAGGAAATGGTTCTTAACTTGAAGTTTATTTGCAATGTAAAGTTGATTGTTCTTAACTTGTAGTTTATATGCAGTATGTATGTAATGGTTATTAACTTGTAGTTAATATGCAGTGTGAAGGTGATGGTTCTTAACTTGAAGTTGATATACAGTGTAAAGTTGATGGTTCTTAACTTGTAGTTTATATGCAGTGTATATGATGGTTCTTAACTTGTAGTTTAAATGCAGAATGTACTGTTTGTGGGTCTGAGCTTGCAGATGTTTTCATAAACAGTTCTATTTTTGTCAATACACAATGTGTGTACAAAATGATTTTCACAGAAGAAAAATCAATTCAGAAATATAAGAATTTAATCGCCAGTTTACTGCCTATGCTACATTAAAGCTCTAATTTCTGAAAGACTACTGCAAAATCATTCATTTTTACTGTTTATTTTCATACATTTAAACATCCATTAATTTATATATGTCCATAAAGATATAAACTTTATCAAAATTAGCATATATTTTTCGTATTAGCAGATTTTGTGAGCACAATATTGATCCACAGGTTGCCCACGTAACTTTAAGATTTTGAAAAACCATGAAACCCACAAATATAAATGGTTTCACAGTATACAAAAATCGTTACCCAAACCCTCCACTATAAGGCCATGTGGTCTGTAAGTATGTGAGTGTCTGACTCCACTTTGATACTATTGTAAAGTAGTAAACAGACCTTCACTTAATCTTTAGGGGAATGTTACAAACACATTGTTTTTCAAAATTGCATGTTCTCCAGCGGGCAACTTTTTGTTTTGTTTTCACAGAACAAGAAAGTCGGTCAAAAACAAAAAGTATATCCAAGTCCTTTTTTTTTTAATTTCTGACTCATTGAACAGTTTTCATTTGATGTCATTGAATTCCAACACAGCTGAGTTTCAAACATGAAATAAATAGTTTCTCAATGTTCAACAACAAACACGAACAAAAGGAGAACATTTTATATAATAAATCTTTTTATTTTTCAGGGGTCTTATCTCTATGCAAGATAACTGCATACATCAATTTTCCATTTAAATAAATGTCCAATTTATCATATACAGTGTCAATGGATAAGATATTTCTGAAAATGTTGAATTGCATGTGTCACAAACAAAATATTGCATGTATATTTTTTTGGCAAATAAGATATTTTATCATTTGTAAAAAGAACTTGCTAATAACTGATATGATACATCAACTGCGAAAGGTTGGCAGTAAATTTTCTGGTGCAACAAACTGACTTGTTTCTCACAGAAATTGTTTGAAGACAAAAAAAAATGTAATTTGGTTTGTATTTCCCTTTAGCACAGCCATTTTGTTTAATCTTTTATTTTATTTGTTTATTTTTTAAAATATTCAGTCTGCTGTTATAAATCATGAGGGATCACACAACATTCACAGAACATGTAACTAAATTAGCTATACACATGCCTATGTTAAGGCACCATCAGCTGATCCTTTGCTGCAGATTTCATTTATATTACCCACGATATTGATACATTTATGTACCAGTACAGCATTGATCAATTTATGTTGACTTATTGTTTCAAATAAGTGAAGTTCTGCGCCGTTTTTTTTTCTAGCCATTCTTCGCTTTTGAAGTGCTACGTTTTTTTGGCTGTTTTTTTGTGTGGTTATTTTTAATAGCAAATTAAAGTGATTTCCAGTAAACAATTAAAGAATTCTTTCCTCATGTAAAATGCAACTTGCACAGAGTGTTTTCATAGTTTTACTTAAATTTTAAAGCAAAGAACTTTTTATGGCTACAATCAAAGAGGCTATGTTTTTTTCTATTAATCTTATCTTATAGGCATCCATTTAGCACATTTCAATAAAAACCTTTCAAATCTAAAGGTAAGATTACAATGAATACAATACATTGTGAGGTAGATGTCAAAGAACACATCTCGTGCAGAAATATGGGATTGAGGTATTAAGACAGAAGGTAAAACATTACTCTGGTCTGATAAGACAGGTTTTTTAGGCACTCTGATTAAAGTATTAAGACAGAAGGTAAAACATTACTCTGGTCTGATAAAACAGGTTTTTTAGGCACTCTGATTAAAGTATTAAGACAGAAGGTAAAACATTACTCTGGTCTGATAAGACAGGTTTTTTAGGCACTCTGATTAAAGTATTAAGACAGAAGGTAAAACATTACTCTGGTCTGATAAGACAGGTTTTTTGCACTTAAGACAGAAAAGTATTAAGACAGAAGGTAAAACATTACTCTGGTCTGATAAAACAGGTTTTTTAGGCACTCTGATTAAAGTATTAAGACAGAAGGTAAAACATTACTCTGGTCTGATAAGACAGGTTTTTTAGGCACTCTGATTAAAGTATTAAGACAGAAGGTAAAACATTACTCTGGTCTGATAAAACAGGTTTTTTAGGCACTCTGATTTAAGTATTAAGACAGAAGGTAAAACATTACTCTGGTCTGATAAGACAGGTTTTTTAGGCACTCTGATTAAAGTATTAAGACAGAAGGTAAAACATTACTCTGGTCTGATAAGACAGGTTTTTTAGGCACTCTGATTAAAGTATTAAGACAGAAGGTAAAACATTACTCTGGTCTGATAAGACAGGTTAAGACAGGTTTTTTAGGCACTCTGATTAAAGTATTAAGACAGAAGGTAAAACATTCTGATAACTCTGGTCTGACAGGTTTTTTAGGCACTCTGATTAAAGTATTAAGACAGAAGGTAAAACATTACTCTGGTCTGATAAGACAGGTTTTTTAGGCACTCTGATTAAAGTATTAAGACAGAAGGTAAAACATTACTCTGGTCTGATAAGACAGGTTTTTTAGGCACTCTGATTAAAGTATTAAGACAGAAGGTAAAACATTACTCTGGTCTGATAAAACAGGTTTTTTAGGCACTCTGATTTAAGTATTAAGACAGAAGGTAATACATTACTCTGGTCTGATAAGACAGGTTTTTTAGGCACTCTGATTAAAGTATTAAGACAGAAGGTAAAACATTACTCTGGTCTGATAAGACAGGTTTTTTAGGCACTCTGATTAAAGTATTAAGACAGAAGGTAAAACATTACTCTGGTCTGATAAGACAGAAGGTAAAACATTACTCTGGTCTGATAGAGACAGGTTTTTTAGGCACTCTGATTAAAGTATTAAGACAGAAGGTAAAACATTACTCTGGTCTGATAAGACAGGTTTTTTATTAAGACAGAAGCACTCTGATTAAGGTAAAACATTACTCTGGTCTGATAAGACAGGTTTTTTAGGCACTCTGATTAAAGTATTAAGACAGAAGGTAAAACATTACTCTGGTCTGATAAGACAGGTTTTTTAGGCACTCTGATTTAAGTATTAAGACAGAAGGTAAAACATTACTCTGGTCTGATAAGACAGGTTTTTTAGGCACTCTGATTAAAGTATTAAGACAGAAGGTAAAACATTACTCTGGTCTGATAAAACAGGTTTTTTAGGCACTCTGGTATTAAGACAGAAGGTAAAACATTACTCTGGTCTGATAAGACAGGTTTTTTAGGCACTCTGATTAAAGTATTAAGACAGAGGCACTCTGATTTAAGTATTAAGACAGAAGGTAATACATTACTCTGGTCTGATAAGACAGGTTTTTTAGGCACTCTGATTAAAGTATTAAGACAGAATTTCATGGTTTTCTCTGGTCAGATTAGACAGTTTTTCTGGTCAGACATCAGATTAGACAGTTTTTAAAAACTGTTTGATTTATTGATTTCTTCTCTATCTTCAAACCTACCAGGAACATAAATTAGGGAAAATATGGCTGTATTTATGCAGGAAACACAAAAATGTTTAGTCTGGCCTAAATTGACACTGATTACAGCAGAAATCAATACCATCCAAAGTAAAGGAAGAGCTAGTCACCACTAAAATCCATTTTTGGAGAATCATTGTGTTTTCCATTGTGTGATATTCTGTTCATCAAGTTTTAAAACAGAGTTAATAGCAGCTTAAACATCTTTAATGGTTTACAGAGCTATAGATTTGAGAATTTTTCCCAAATCAATGCATAATGGATGGTTTTAAAATGTCTTGTCAATTGCATAACCTCAAATCAAACACTCTTTCACCTCTTTTAGTTGACTATTTGTAAACATTTTATTTCTATATTCATAACTTCATAAACTTCTATAAATATTACATAATTTTTTTTTCAATTTTCAAACTACCAATATGCCTATATTCAACAAGCCCAAACACAATCAATCTATAGCTGATTTGTGCAGTAGAATCTTTGTCATATAAGAAGTCAATCTGCGATCCTTAGATTTTGAATCGGTCTTGATATGATTTGATTGAAGTCCACAATTAGTGTTACTCCAAAAACCACAGGATAATTTTAATGAATATGAATGAATGTGCACAAAGAAATTTTTTTGGCAGGGAACATAAAAAATTACACAGCAGGTCTAAAGCATTGAAATATTGCGTGATTACCATAGAGATAAAAATTACATTTATTACTGAATCTAAAAAAATTACCGCATTGATCAAATATTCAAAATTAAGAAGTGGCAGGATAGGACAGAACTAATGTTTTTCATGCTTTCATGCCTTATGGCCATCTCAAGGTAATTACTTTTAATGCCTTAATTACTAACATTAGCACACATTGCAATCAATATTAAAAGGGGAGGTAACTTCCATCTATATATTATTCTATACATTTCATCAAAGATACAGAAAATCTTTAGTATCATACATGCTGCCGACATGGTGTAAATAAACGTTTAAAGGACATTGCACATAGTTAAGATGTAAACATCTATACATGAAAGTGTACTATGTTTTTGGGACCTTTGTTTACTGAATAGTGAAAGCATCATATCAGTAAACATCTGAACAGAAACTCCATATAAATATATATATTCAACAAAACTCCATGATAGTCAAACAACTTATCTACAACATAAATGTACAAAAACATCACAATAGATTTAATGGTTGATTCTGTTTAGTCCCTTTATCAAACAGATTTCCTACGCAATATTACCATACATTATTAACGAGATGGCTTTTTCCCTAACGCCAAATGTAATTAACTGTAGATACACATAATATGAATGTTAAGTACTATCCCTTTCAAATGTCATTTAGTGAACTAAACTCTGTATCAACCAAAATTCATTTAATTTAATAATAAAGAAAGATTTTTTCTAACTCTAAAATGTCAAAAATACACATAAAATGCCATATATATGAATTATTACACTATATAATTTTATTATATTTGTTGTAATTCATTCCAATAAACGTTGAGGACAAATCCTTGTTGGAATTATCTCATATATTTATTGGTTAAATGATCTAATCAATGTGTAATATTAACATTATTGTATACTCACAAGGTGTCCATTTTCTGTTTTTCCTCTTCCATTTTCATTCGCTTGGCCAACTGCTTGGTTCGTGAAGGTCTGTATACATATTTGCGTTTCCCCGTGCACTCATATGTAAAATGGCCTTTCTGTAGGCATTTCTGGCAAGTGTAGTTCTCCGCACTTGGTTCTCTGTTGAAAAGCAGCACACAAAATGCCTCAGTTCTGATTAGCTCACAAAATATGCCAGACAGAATCAAACTGGATCAAAATTACATCACAACCATTTTCCCTGTCACAGTTTCCTGTCACTGCGATTTTATAACCACTCTCCTGTGGAAAGTCGTTTTTTGAAGACGTCTGCTTGTAATTTTATAGCCAGGTAGCGTGTTGCCATGGTGCTCTCTAGGCAAACTTATAATAGAGTCTGAACGTAGAAACTGCTGCTTCAATTTACGATATATTGGCGTTAGATTATATACAAATACAGGTTAACCTGGCAGTAGCTGTAACCATAGACAGTGGCCATTAGGTGTATTGATTTCAACAAAAAGCCAATCAATCTCAAATCTAATAAAATACTGTTCCTAACAGTTCGTTTCACTGCTGTAAAAATATTTCACCTTGCAACTACGATAAATTTTCCCCTTTTAACTTAACATTCTTTAAGAAAAAAAATTAATGATGTTTCCTACCTACAGTAATCTTATGCCTTTTAATCAAAAAAATAATTATACAAACATTACTGAACAATTATAAAGGAGTAATCATGTAAAAACAACTAGGTACCCTATACGTCTGTGTTGTAAGCAAACATCCATGATTCACTCAGTGCTAAGTCGCGACTAGCTGCGATCTGGATGATCAATATATAGCCGTTTGATTGACTGACTGAAACAGTGCAATGTATCGTAACCAAACCTAACACATTGTTGCGTCTGATGATAATTCACTTGTGTTTAGGAAAATGTCACAGTTCGCCAGGTGATCGATGAAAAGAATTACATTTGTTCAGCTACCATGTGTACCTTGAGTTGACTGGGCCACATTTACAAATCCTTAATAGAAAATTCACAATTTATTCAAACAGAGATCAAAGATATCATGGAATACAGACATTAATCTTTCTTGGATATTTGAATCCCACATTCTACCTCTCCTTCTAAAACTCATTTCTATTCTTTTCAAACATGAAACAATGCTGGTTCAAATATTGTGTGTTCTGAGCGTGATCTGGTAGTATATCATAATCATGAAATACTGATCATTATGCATATGTTGCATATTTTTTATTCTAATCCATAGTGCAATTTTCAGTCAGTCTTTTACATACACGTTTATATCTATAACGTGAGGATTGAAACTAGGTGTTATCATTAAGAGGAATCCTTAAGGTCTTACCATTGTGAGGAATCTATTAGGTCTTAACAATGTCAGGAATCTATTAGGTCTTAACATTGTGAGGAATCTATAAGGTCTTAACATTGTCAGGAATCTATTAGGTCTCAAAATTGTCAGGAATCTATTAGGTCTTAACATTGTGAGGAATCTATAAGGTCTTAACATTGTCAGGAATCTATTAGGTCTCAACATTGTCAGGAATCTATTAGGTCTTAACATTGTCAGGAATCTATTAGGTGTTAACATTGTCAGGAATCTATAAGGTCTTAACATTGTCAGGAATCTATAAGGTCTTAACATTGTCAGGAATCTATTAGGTCTTAACATTGTCAGGAATCTATTAGGTCTAAATATTGTGAGGAATTTATAAGGTGTTAACATTGTCGAGGAATCTATATAGGTCTTAACATTGTCAGGAATCTATAAGGTCTTAACATTGTGAGGAACTATTAGGTCTTAACATCGTGTGGAATTTATCAGGTCTTAACATTTTGAGGAATCTATTAGGTATTAATATTGTGAGAAATCTATTAGGTCTTAACATTGTGAGGAATCTATTAGGTCTTAACACTGGGAGAAATCTAATAGGTCTTAACATTGTGAGAAATCTATTAGGTCTTAACATTGTGAGGAATCTATTAGGTCTTAACATTGTGAGGAATCTATTAGGTCTTAACATTGTGAGGAATCTATAAGGTCTTAACATTGTCAGGAATCTATTAGGTCTCAAAATTGTCAGGAATCTATTAGGTCTTAACATTGTGAGGAATCTATTAGGTCTTAACAATGTCAGGAATCTATTAGGTCTTAACATTGTGAGAAATCTATTAGGTCTTAACATTGTGAGAAATCTATTAGGTCTTAACATCGTGAGGAATTTATCAGGTCTTAACATTGTGAGGAATCTATTAGGTCTTAACATTGTGAGGAATCTATTAGGTCTTAACATTGTGAAGAATCTATAAGGTCTTAACATTGTGAGGAATCTATTAGGTCTTAACATTGTCAGGAATCTATTAGGTCTTAACATTGTGAGGAATCTATTAGGTCTTAACATTGTGAGGAATCTATTAGGTCTTAACATTGTGAAGAATCTATAAGGTCTTAACATTGTCAGGAATCTAATAGGTCTTAACATTGTGAGAAATCTATTAGGTCTTAACATTGTGAGAAATCTATTAGGTCTTAACATCGTGTGGAATTTATCAGGTCTTAACATTTTGAGGAATCTATTAGGTATTAATATTGTGAGAAATCTATAAGGTCTTAACATTGTGAGGAATCTATTAGGTCTTAACATTGTGAGGAATCTATTAGGTCTTAACATTGTGAGGAATCAATTAGCTCTTAACAATGTCAGGAATCTATTAGGTCTTAACATTGTGAGGAATCTATAAGGTGTTAACATTGTCAGGAATCTATTAGGTCTTAACATTGTGAAGAATCTATAAGGTCTTAACATTGTGAGGAATCTATTAGGTCTTAACATTGTGAAGAATCTATAAGGTCTTAACACTGTGAGGAATCTATTAGGTCTTAACATTGTGAGGAATCTATTAGGTCTTAACATTGTGAAGAATCTATAAGGTCTTAACATTGTGATGAATCTATTACGCCTCAACATTGTGAAGAATCTATAAGGTCTTAACATTGTGAGGGATCTATTTGGTCTTAACATTGTGAGGAATCTATTAGGTCTTAACATTGTGAGGAATCTATTAGGTCTTAACATTGTGAGGAATCTATAAGGTCTTAACATTGTGAGGAATCTATTAGGTCTTAACATTGTCTTAAGGTCTCAACATTGTCAGGAATCTATTAGGTCTTAACATTGTGAGGAATCTATAAGGTCTCAACATTGTCAGGAATCTAATAGGTCTCAACATTGTCAGGAATCTATTAGGTCTTAACATTGTCAGGAATCTATTAGGTCTTAACATTGTCAGGAATCTATTAGGTCTAAATATTGTGAGGAATTTATAAGGTCTTAATATTGCGAGGAATCTAATAGGTCTTAACATTGGGAGAAATCTATTAGGTCTTAACATTGTGAGAAATCTATTAGGTCTTAACATTGTGAGGAATCTATAAGGTCTTAACATTGTGAGGAATCTATAAGGTGTTAACATTGTCAGGAATCTATTAGGTCTTAACATTGTGAGGAATCTATAAGGTCTTAACATTGTCAGGAATCTATTAGGTCTCAACATTGTGAGAAATCTATTAGGTCTTAACATTGTGAGAAATCTATTAGGTCTTAACATCGTGTGGAATTTATCAGGTCTTAACATTGTGAGGAATCTATTAGGTCTTAACATTGTGAGGAATCTATTAGGTCTTAACATTGTAGGTCTTAACATTGTGAGGAATCTATTAGGTCTTAACATTGTGAGGAATCTATAAGGTCTTAACATTGTCAGGAATCTATTAGGTCTCAACATTGTCAGGAATCTATTAGGTCTTAACATTGTGAGGAATCTATTAGGTCTTAACATTGTCAGGAATAACAAAATGCTCCTGTAATATCTCAAAACATTGTTCAAACAAAACTGAAATCTATGGAGGTCTTAACATTGTCAGGAATCTATAAGGTCTTAACATTGTCAGGAATCTTTTAGGTATTATGTTCCTACCAAAAATCAATGTGTCAGGAATCTATAAGGTCTTAATATTGCAATATGGTCAATACATAGGTCTTAACATTATGAGAAATCTAATAATAGGTCTTAACATTGTGACAAATCTATTAGGTCTTAACATTGTAGGAATCTATAAGGTCTTAACATTGTCAGGAATCTATATAGGTCTTCAACATTGTCAGGAATCTATTAGGTCTTAATATCGACGATATGGTCCATTATTGGTCTGGATCTTCTATATATAGAATCTAGTAAATAATAGGAATCTTATGGTCTTAACATTGTGAGGAATCTATTCTTTAACATATATAGAATCTATTAAGTAATAACATTGTGAAGAATATGGTCAACATTGTGACTGAATCTTCTATATATAGAATCTATAAGTAATCTTAACATTATGAGGGAATATTTGGTAACATGGTCTTCTATATATAGAATCTTAATATTGTCAGGAATCTATTAGGCCTTAACATTGCGATAAATCCTATATATAGCATTGGTAATAACAAATATGGTCCAATATTCAAACACATGTTCTATATATAGAATGTTAGTAAGTAATATCGACAATAATCCAATATTGGTACTGGATCTTCTATATATAGAATCTAAGAAATTTGTACGAGGTTTACAGAAAACATTTATACTGATCTTCTATATATAGAATCTAGTAAGTTATATCGACCATAAAATCAATATTTGATTAAATTCTATATATAGAATCTACAGCATAATTAACCAAATATGTCCAATATCATGGATCTTCTATATATAGAATCTAGTAAGTAATATCGAAATATGATCCAATATTGGTACTGATCTTCTATATAAATTCATATGATATTAAATTGGTACTGGATTTTCTATATAGAGAATCTAGTAAGTAATATCGACAATATGGTCCAATATTGGTACTGGATGTTCTATATATAGAATCTAGTAAGTAATATCGACAATATGGTCCAATATTGGTACTGGATGTTCTATATATAGAATCTAGTAAGTAATATCGACAATATGGTCCAATATTGGTACTGGATCTTCTATATATAGAATCTAGTAAGTAATATCGACAATATGGTCCAATATTGGTACTGGATCTTCTATATATAGAATCTAGTAAGTAATATCGACGATATGATCCAATAT